TTGGCTTTCAGGACACTGCAGCTCCTAATATTCTTCCTTCCTTTCTGGTCACTGCTTCTCAGCCTCCTTTATCATCTCTATGTTGATGATGTCAAGATTTATAGCTCCAGTCTAGACCTCCTTCCCGAATTTTAGGCCTGGATTTCTAACACACTACTTCCTCTTTCCACTTGGATGTTTAATAGGCATCTCCAATGTGTTATGTCCAGATTTGAGCTCCTGAAATTCTTTCATCCAAGATTTGCTCCTCCTAGTCTTCTCTATCTTAGTAATACAACTTCTTTCTTGTGGTTATTTGGGCTCCCAAATTATGGTATCCTCCTTGTCTCCTTTCTCTCACACACATCTGATCATTCACAAAACCTGTTGGTTCTACCCTCAAAATATATTTAGAATATGACCACTTTTCTCTTTCCTTTAGTCTAAATTATCATCATCTTTTTTGCCTAGATTATTGCAGTGACATCCTAACTGATCTCCTTGCAAAATCATCTGTTTGCATACACCCAAGAAGCTCAACAAACTTCAAGTAGGATAAATTCAATGAAATCCACATCAAGACACATTACAATCAAACTGTTGAAGGCCAAAGACTAAGAGAGAATCTTGAAAGCAGCAAGAGAAGAGACTGCCATGTACCAGGGAGCTTCAATAAGATTAACAGTCAATTTTTTATCAGAAACCATGGAAGCCAGAAGGCAGTGGGATGACATATTTAAAGTGCTGAAAGAAAAAACCTATCAACCAAGAATTCTATATCTGGTAAAACTGTCCTTCAAAGATGAGGGAGAAATTAAGACATTCCCAGATAAACAAAAGCTGAGGATGTTCATTACCAGTAGACCTGCCCTGCAAAAAATGCTAAAGAGAGTTCTTAAGTTGAAGTGAAAGGACACTAGACAATAACCCAACACCGTATGAAGAAATAAAGATCTCTAGTAAAAGTAACTACATGAGAAAATATAAAATTGAGTACTAGTGTGTGGTATAACAGAGAATATATCTGGTCTTTGTCCCTGACTCCTGGCACAGAGCTTCAAAAACCCTTGGAATTTCCTGAGTGATAGGAGTGTCTTTGTTATGCTATTGAGGTAACTCATTTTGGGTCCCTAGACTGCTTCAGGATGAAGGCTATTCACCAGAAAGATCAACCTCCTTGTGATTAGATAGTTGGAAATTTGGGCCAGCCCAAGCTCCAGGAAGGGAAGGGGGCTGCAGATTGAGTTAGATTGGTTTAACCAATTGTACTACGTAATGCAGTCCCAATAAAATCTCCGGACACAGAGGCTTCCTGGTTGGGATGGAAATGGAACACAATTGTATTTTTAGTTTGTAACACCACTTTTTATTTCCTACATGATGTAAAAGGTATATGCATAAAATTAATTATAAATCTATGTTATTTGGCACAGAATCGGTAAAGATGAGGACAGAATCAGGCAAATGAACAGTCTTTATTACCATAATAAAGTAATTTTTTATTTCACATGCCACCAGATGAGTACGACTAGAGTGTGTAGAGGACTCAGTCAGCCTAGAGCAGGCTCACCTAACCACATACTTTTCTCCTTATCCTCTTGGTCTACTTTCACTCACCCCACTGATGGCAAGGAAAGGTGTTTTCCAAGGAAAAGAATTCCAAAGAAAGCAAAGTAAGTTTCTCTTTGAGGTCTAGAGCAGAAAGCTGGTCTAATTTACCCTTCCCAGATATTCTCAGGGTGTAGCTGTTCTCAAGCAAGAGCAGCCACAAAGAGATTTCCAGAAAAATGGAATGCCATAGAAACCATTTACCTAGTGCCATTTGTGTTCCAATGGTTGTTCTTGCCCGAGACATTGTTAGCAACACTCTTCCTGCAGGGCACAATCAAGAGAATGGAAAGCAAAGGAGCCAGCTACAGGTGTGATTTACTCCCATTTTATACATGAGGCAGCAGAACCAGAGATGGAGAATATGCACGGCCTATATTACTGGTTCACTTGCTTTGTTTCTACCTGTTACTGAACCAATTAGCATTGGAAGGAGGAACAAAAATTGTCATTATTTAACTTGACAATAAGCCTCCAATATTTTTATTAGTTTTTTTTTTTTAAATAAAGCAAGCCTACACATAATTTCCGATGCTCTGTGGCATAATAATGCTATTGATCATCTCTACAGGCATAAAAAGAGAATCCTTTTATTGAAGGCGTAGAAAATTCACATTGTTAGGCATGCCCTTCAAAGATGTTGGCCAACTCAAGTAGCCTTGTTACCAAATCAAAGGAACTGTCCAACCCAGGTGTTTCTTATCCATCCACCCATTTACTCTAACTATTTGTGATAAGCAACCTAGAAAAGACAGAATAATGTGATGAGAATAAAAATATCATCCATAATCCCATGATTTGGATCATCAACCTTTTGGCATGTATTTTTCAGGGAATTTTTCTATGAACAAGTACTCAGATATTTATAAAACTGGGGTCATTCTTATACTCTTTTATAATATGATTTTTTTTGTTTGTGTGTGAGGAAGATTCTGAGCTAACATCTGTTGCCAATCTTCCTCTTTTTTTGCTTGAGGAAGATTAGCCCTGAGCTAACATCTGTGCAGTCTTCCTCTATTTTGTATGTAGGTCATCACCATAGCATGGCTTGATGACTGGTGTAAGTCCACACCCAGGATCCGAATCCGCGAACCCGGGCTGCTGAAGCAGAGCGCGCTGGACTTAACCACTACACCACGGGGCCAGCCCCTATAATATGATTTTTTTGTATGACTTATATAAATATCTTTCATACTGATAAATTTATCTCTGTATCATCATTTTTATGGCTTCTTAGTATTCCAGCCTACCATACCATGCCATAAGTAGTTTAAGTGCTCCTTTATTATTGTCTGTTTCTGCTATTTCTAATTTTTTAGACAAGGCTGCATGAACATCCTTGCTTATGTATCATTGGTGTTTCAAATGGGGGGGGTGTACTCCATCATAGCATAATGTCCCAGCGTAGTCCATGGCGTCATAGTTCCAGGAGGCAGAATCCCAGGTTCCCAAGGTGCCCAGAGAACTTCTTTCTAGGTATCTCAGTAGCTGATGTGCTCTGCTGGAACGACAAATCTGAAACGTTGTCAGCTTCTTCTCACCAAACTTGGCCCTATCCCAACTTTGCAAATCTGCCCTTTTGGGGCGACTAGGCCCACAGAGTGCTACTGCTGGGTGATTCCTTGTACGATGGAGACAGAGGCCTCAATTCTTGGAGCAAAAGATTCTTCTTTGGCAGAATCTTTAAATCCAGCTGTTTCCAGTGCTCCTGGTATAGTTTAAACGCTGCAATGTTACCTGAGTGGCTTAAACCAACTGGACTTCCATCATGTTCATGTCCTTGGACTTGAGTATTTTTATCTGCTATGTACAGAAATCTGCAAAGGCTCCAGGTAGATTATCGTACCTGGCTTACCAGTAACAAGCTCCCCAGAATTCACCCCATTTAAAAGAACTCTATAGCCTTGCACCTCAAAGTGTGATCCTCAGACCAGTATCAGCATCACCTGAAAACTTGCTTAACGTGCATACCTCAGACCTCACCCTAGACTTATTACATCAAACTCTACAAGTTAGAGAAGCACTGCACTATCCTAGTTTAAGGAGCACCCTTGGCTTGTCATTCTGTCTCGAGGACCCAACTGAACCTAATCCTGGAGGGCTAGGATTAAAACTGGACTCCAGGTCTGTGCTTCCTGAACTTTAAGGTGCACACAAATCCCCTAGGGATCTTGATGAAATGCAGACTCTGATTCAGTGGGTCTGGTTTGGAGCCTGAGATTCTGCATTTGTAACTAGCTCCCAAGTGATGCTAATGCTGTTGCTCCCTGGAGCATATTTTGAGTAGCAAAGGAATAGCATTTCTTAAAATTTGTGAGACCATAAGTATTACCTGAGGCACTTATTAAAAATACAGATTCCCTGGTCCTCCTCTAGACCGGCTAAATCAGAATTAACCAAATCCTCAGGTGACTTTGGCAATTAGATAAATTTAGGAAATGCTGAGGTAGGGAAGTCAGAGCTCAAAGTGGCCCCTAAGTGATGAGGGGATGAGGCATTGAGATGTAGCTGAAAGAGGCCTGGACAGGCACCAATGGACATACCCTTGTCCTCACCTCCAAAGGGATGTGAGTTTCCTCTAGTGGTCATATCGGGTCAGGATTTGCCCCTGTAATGGATGCAGAGCCTCTTAGTTTCTTTCTTTGGTGCCTCTTGAGTGTGTATAGCATTTTCATTGACTCCAAATCAACCCAGACTCCATGAGCACAGACTTTCAGCACCATTCCCAAAAATGCCATTCATGAAGTGCTGGAGCCAGATTCACAGATTCTGCTATTGGTTCTGTAAAGGAATTGGCTCCTTGAGCAAACAAGACACACACCGTCCATCGTGTGGGAATCACAGATGTTATCGGAAGAGAAATGAGAACGTAGCGGGTGATTACCTCTCTGGACTCTCGACACTGAGTTTTTGTCCCCTCCTTGGAACTGTCAATTTGACTTCTGTTGTTATCACCACACTGACCTCCAGGGCGTGCCAATTCTCGTTTCTCACCAGCTCTAGCACAAACAGAACAAAAGCCACTAAATCATTTATTCATCCGTTCAACAAATAATTGAGCACATAGTATTTGCCAAGTACCTGGCTAGATGCTGTGTGGATTCAAAGGAGCAAGTGAAGTGACATAAAGAGCTTATAACAGGGTCTGATATAAAGTAAGCACTAAATATGTGAGCTATTAGTATTCTCAAACTCATCCCCATATTGGTTATAATAAGGCTTTCCATTTAAAAAAAAATTTTGTCTGCCAAAGGCAGGAAAAGGTGAGATATTTTGCCTCAGTTGCTTAACAGCCAATCCAGTGGTCCTGCTTCGTGCTGCAAGTACTGACTTGTCTTTCTCCTTTGAACAGACTGACTCCATGTTACTTTAGGAAAGATTCATTGAAACAAAGGAGTAAAATACACAAGATATAGTGTTTTTAAAAACATTTTTTAATGAAGAAATAATTCCATTCCAAAATATAGACACACAATTAAATAGTTTAATCACTTCAAAATATAACATGTCCCCAGGAGGTTCCAACACACACACACACACAAAACAATACTTAACAGCAATACAAAAAACCCATACAATAGTAGTTTTGTTACAATACCAATGAATATTGTGAAATCTTTAGTGTCTCTGAATTGGTTATTTCAAATGGTGTCAAATTACAGCAGTCATAATTAAAAATGTCTTACAGTTAATTAGCCTCAAGATGTAACGCTTCTGATTTTTTTCTCTTTTTGGTTCAAAAGTAAAAATGCCCTTTCTTCTGAGGACACAGTGGAGTTCTTGTTTGTGGCTCCTTGCACGGAATCGAACCAAGGTGGTTGCAGCAACCAAAGGTTGCCGTATTTACAAGGTCTATCTACAGTTAACAGCCAAGAACTAATAAGGGTGGACAAAGATGATCAAAATAAAAGCAGACATCAGTGCTAAATTATGATGCAACAGTTTTGGCTCATGCATATAAGAAAATACATAGTATATCACGACAAAGGCCACACTCTTATGCAATTCAGTTCACATTACTACTTACAAATGAACCTTCCCTGCCTTAGAGTAGATCATTCGAGAATCCATTTTTCACGATCTCCAGCACATCTCTCTCTGACCAACCAAACTTACCCCGACTTCCGCCCTGACCAACCACAACTGATTCCTAATCCCATACAGTAGATTTCACCCTCCTCCCTCCCTCCATTAACATGGTGCTGTGGGGGATGGTTGGCTGTGTTAGACCAGTGCTCGTTGATAGGCCATCATCTCTGATGGAGATGGATGTGCAATTCATTGTGGAACAAGAAAGAAACAACCCTCGCAAGATATAATTGTATCTAAAGGACAGGACAGGTGAAACCTGCTGGGTTTGCACTTAGAACAGGCCCCAAAAGTAAATCTGGAGAGCCAAGGAAAGAAACCCACCAAAAAACACAAAAACCCAAAACAACACACGCCATTTTGTCTTGGTTACAGGACAGGGGTGCTTGAGTCTGGTCTCAGTGCTGACGTGGAGCTAAGAGAAAGAAAAGGTGGCTGGTTAGTCAGGGATTGGTCATTGGCAGCAGTTTCCAGAGTCCTTGCAATGGCTTTGTACGATGGTATCAACAACCATGTGATGGAGTTGGCAATGAAAGCTACGACGGGGGAAGGTTATCGGCAAAACAGTTCAAACTTTAGACAAATGTTTTGATGTAGAAACATAAAATAACAGCAGACGTCATCTCAATCCAGCCAGTGGCTGGATGCTACTTGTGGGGTCTGAGTTCCGAGTTCAAGAACCACCTGGCTATGATTTAGAGCTGACAGCGATGTAGGCAGCTGAGATGTAGTGGTTTTAAGTACCGAGTATGAGGCACGAGGGGCCACCTGCTCCATCTAGAGAGGTGTGGTTTCACAAAAGATGGGCAGTGGAAAGGAGATGAACGTTAAGATACACCAACAAAACCCGCAATAAAATCCACCTGTGCAAAGAAATCTGAGAACTATGCAGTTGTGCCACTGTGGTGTCAGCCTGTTCCCAGGGCCATTTGTCAGGCTGGTTCTCTGGAGGGATGTACGATGAAGTACATCAATGGACAGAATGGGCTCCTTACTAATGCCAACCAAAAGCTTTACTATCCCCAAGGCAAGTGATTTTGTTCCAAAGGGCAGCCAAGGAGATGATTTCTGAGCAAATGCAGAGATGTGAACATCTTAGAGCCCTCTGCAGAGGGAGCTGGAAGATGTCAAGATGCTTGTGCTCAGCTCGGCACCCACCGACTGCTGACTATGTGGAGTGGGAGGAGGTTTTTGCCAGCCCTGGAAGCAAAATCAAATTGCTGAAGCTTTGAGGTTGACTCAGAACCTTTCTTGCTTATTCTGAAGAGGGTCTTTTCAGAGATTTTATTATACGACTTTATTCTAAAGCAGTGGTTCTCAGCCTTTAGTGTGCATCAGAATTGCCTGCAGGGCTTAATAAAACACAGATTGCTGGGCCCCACTCCCAGAGTTTTTGATTCAGTAGGCCAGGGTTAGGACCTAAGAATTTCCATTTCTAATAAATTCCCAAGTGATGCTGATGCTGCTGGTCCAGGGAACACACTTTGAGAATCACTGTTCTAAAATGATGGTCTCTTCTCTCTTTTAAAGGAGAAACAGGAATTCCAGAGAAGCTGCCAATTTAAGTATAACATATCCAGTAAGTTGCCGGATTTTTGTTTCATCACATCTTGAGACGTAGAAGATTATTTTTTCATTTCCCCAGAACCCCATTTCTTTAGCGCTCCCCAGAGAGGTGCCTGACCAAGGACCATCAACAGTCTTTCCTTCTCCCTCCTTTGACAGCTCTTTTGCACAGCAGCTTTGTGCTGAGTGCAAAATCCCAACTCAACTTAGAAGAGCCTGTTTCCTCACACGACCACAGAAGGCTGCATGCAGAACACCAGGAAGCCGGCTAAGGCGATAAACATTCAGAAATAAAAGGAGAGTGAACTTTTGCAAGCGCACTTTAAGCCTGTACATTTAAAGCTGAAGGCCTCCAAACAACCCGATAGGGGAATTGATGGATGAGCAGTGCTGTTAGAGACGTGCTCCCTAAAGCTAAAACGAGAGGAACAAGACCATGGAGGAGCAGAGAAAACTTGAGTCTGTTTGGGGATCCTATGGCACCTGTGGTTTATAAACAGCTTTAGTAATGAGTGTTTCAAAACAGAGTTCACAGTTTTTAAGAAGATCTGTGCTGATTTTAAAAACTAGATTCTATATAATTTGAATGTTGCCTTTTTTTGAATATGATATCTATTTGGAAAAAATATTTACACTAAATTCTATGGCTGATTGGTTAGAGTATCTTGAAAGAAAACAACCCCAAGTTGGAAAGAAGCCCCAAAGACTGGATTATCCTGGTGTGTTTGGTTCAAGTCACTGCTCACAGAGACTTGGAGACCACTGCAGACCGTGCCTGCCAAGGACCCTTCTTGGCTTCTGGGCTCTGAGTCTGTACACTCAGGAACCAATCCTTCAGGGTTACTGAATAATTGCAAGTGGTTGTTTTTTTCCAATTGCTGTGGAAAAAAATGTACAGTGTATAATAAACTGTTTTGCTAAAATCTCAAACAATTCAGAAATCAAACTTCTAGCTATAAACAGTATTAATATTGTAATTGTAAACTGAACAGGTTCAATATCATGTGCAAAGGTTTCAAATGCTTGTTAACACTGCCATCGTCACAGCAGCATGGGGTTCAGCCTGTTTTTTTTTTTTTTTTTTTTTTTTTGAGGGATGAGCCATGTTACAGAAGATGTAGCCGATAAGTTAGCTGTGAACAGAAGTCTTTTTTTTTTCCTTCTCAAAACACACACCTATGAACTATAAATCTTAGAACAAAAAGTTAGCTGCACTACGGTCGGCAGAACACGTCTTTAGGGGTAGGGTCTGTCAGGAGCTGCTGCATGTGGTGGGTCCTCTCCGGTGAGGTTGCTGCCAGGCTGCTGTCTTCTCCTCTGTGTGCGTGGGTGCAGCACTCGCCTCCATCACCAGCTTTCATGTTACTTTCATCATCTGTCTGACTAGAGCTTGCCTGGGAATAAGGAATGTGTAATTTTTTTTTTTAAAGATGAAAACTGTTCTCTAAATTAGGCTTCTGAAGCTTTGGATCCCCTCTTTCCCCCGACACACACACACACACACACACACACACTTGCTCTACTCCCTTCCTATGACCATCGGGAATGAATGTCGTGGGACAGTGCATGCTATTGCACCTTCTGAAAGAGAGGACAGGAATCCTCCGTGTTGAGTCTCTTGCTTAATGGGTGCCTGAGGCATCTGGAGGGTTAAAGCAATGCAAACAGAAATATTTGTGTTGTTCTTTGAACAAGGAGACGAGAGTACTGACTCATCATCAGAATGCTACAGCAATTTTTTAAAAATCTACTTTGTCCACTTCCTCAATTACTGGAGTTAGGATGTGGCTGGCCAAGGAGAGCAGAGTACCATGTGGCCAGAGGGATGGAAAAGGGACAAATCCAAGATTTGAGAGGGCCAAAATGGAGTTTTGGCGGATTCTAAGTAGAGTGCTAATTTTTTTTTTTTTTGGTGAGGAAGTTTGGCCCTGAGCTAACATCTGTGGCCATCCTCCTCCATTTTGCATGTGTGATGCCGCCATGGCATGGCTTGATGAGCGGTACCTAGGCCCGCGCCCGGGATCTGAACTTGTGAACCCTGGGCCGCCGAAAGAGAGTGCACGAACTTAACCGCTATGCCACTGGGCTGGCCACTGAGTGCTAACTTTTATATACACTGTTTCTTCAAAAGTGGCTAGTTGAAAAGCAATAAAGCAGGTTTCACTCTATTCCCTCTCGTTAGTGTGCTGTTAAGCATATACTTATTTTCAAATAGGCCCAAAACTCTTTTGGAGCAGAGGATGGGTCTTCTATGTCTGGCATCCCACCTTCTGCCCCTTAATCATGCAGGGCTCTGCCTTGGTGGATGCCTAATTGATTTTGACCTGATAAAGTTGGCTTCAGGATCCTTGGATAGGAGACGCATATACTTTGAGATAATTTCTAGTCTTGCAGCACAGTCAGAAAGTCCAAAACAAGTAGATTTCAGTAGTATAAACTGTTCTAAAATTTCAGCTGTATTTCTTGGCTACATTAAGAAAAATTACAGTAGGATAGAACTAGCTACAAAGATGAAAAGTCACTAGCTTCTGCAGTGTGCCATCAGGTTTTAAATGAATTTTGCCTGATTTGCTGATTTAGCGACAGGCTGGTTCATGTTTAGAGTCCTGTGGAATGCCAGCAAGGTAGGCACACAATGCAGTAAATGGCAGAGGCCACAACTGTTTTAGTTTTTCACTGCCAAATTTGCAACAAAAGATTATAAAAATGGCCTAAGAACTTTCAGAGTACTGAAATCTTTGGCTTTTAGGTATAAGCACCAACTGCCGCTTTTTATCTGGGTTTTGTCAAGGACATTTTACTAGACTTTTTAAAATATATATTTTTCTAAGAACTAGCTACTGATGTTTAAATAATGTGCAGAACAAAAATGATCAAATTGTTGGAGCTAAGAGAAAAAAAATGCTATTAAAGGAAAAGGCTTGCTCCTTTGGGATTAGAGTTGTTATAACCGGAGTGAATATTTTCAGAAACAGCCCCTGGGAATTTTTTCACTGTAATCATAATGAATCAGGAGAGCCTGTGGTGTAGCATTCTCAAATCCAGGGGAGGAAGGATAGAATGCGATCAATAAGATCCTTCCTTTCACACCGAAAGGGCCTCACTGCCCATCAAGTATATTTCATAATAGCAATTATGCCGTGATATTTACTTGCTTAACCCTAACCTCAGGACTGAGACTGGAGTTCAGTAGTGTTTGAGCTAGAATGTATTCTTTACTCATTGATGTGTCATATAGGAAATATACATCCCTTTTTCAATTAGCAGCCAGAGTTGAGTTTACCATCAGCTGCACTATAAACTTATGGGATTCCATGGTTGGGAAAGACTGCATAACTAAAGGAGATACAAGTCCTTGGGCCTGTGCAGCCAGCCAGCCTGCGAAAGGTGTATTGAGCTTGAACTGTAATGGGGGACATCTAAATGGCCGTTAGCTGGAGCCAGAGAAACCATCTAGACCTATGGTATATCAAATAGCACTTAGCACGTAGCTAAGTGCTAGCCTTATTGATGAAAACAGAGGGAGCAAGCTAGTTCTGAGTCCTGGGGGCTCCCAAACCCTTACATAATAAATTTAGCAGCTCCCCAGGATTGAATTGCTTCTAAAGCACAGAGCATAGTGGCAGGCATGTAAGTGTGTGCTGTTAATAAAATTATAATGTCTGCCGCTATGTTAAGCTCTTTAAAAATTACATGCCAGTGAGGACAACTCCTCTATGAAGCAAGTAGTGTGATACATGTTGTACAGAGGGCATGGAGGCTCATAGAGGTTTAATAATTTGTCTAAGCTTATGCTACCAGCATTTGATGAAACTCCTATTTGAAATCAGGTGTATTAGAGTCCAGAGCCTGAGCTTCAGACTGTTACACTCAAGTGATCCTGCCAGTCAAGTACCATTCTCTCTACATTAAAAAAATTACTGAGGCCTTTCCATGTATTTAGGTAGATCCTTGGTGGTGGGGGCTAGGGGCTGGATCTCATGCTACATAAATGCTATTTTATTTATTTATTATTTATTTATTTTTTGGTGAGGAAGATCAGCCCTGAGCTAACATCCTACGCCAATCCTCCTCTTTTTTGCTGAGGAAGATTGGCCTTGGGCTAACATCTGTGCCCATCTTCCTCTACTTTATATGGGACGCCGCCACAGCATGGCTTGACAAGCGGTGCGTTGGTGCGCACCCGAGATTTGAACCTGTGATCCCTGGGCCGCCGAAGCAGAGCGCACGCACTTAACTGCTGCGCCACCAGGCGGGCCCATAAATGATATTTTGAATGAAGTTTATATCTTGCTGAATTGCACAATGGATTTGAAGCAGCTATTCCAAAAATATAAGGCTGTAGAAGTTTTCCTCTGTTTTGCTTCCTTTGTTTTCTTTAATAACACAAGGTTTTGCTTTCACTTGTGAAGGTACACACGTTTGATCTTTGAGCCCTGAGTACAGCATGACTAAGGAGCTGACCCATCTCTAGAAGTGCTGAGCAAGCCTGGACTGTTCCTTCTCAACTGATAGGCTGCAAACTTGGAGCTGTTATGGATTACTAATGTGGTTTCAAAGAAACCTCGTGTTACAGAAGTTTCTCTGCCAATTTTCCTAATTAATAGAATAAAAAGTCAACCCCCAAGGTTGTCTGCCAAATCTCTACTGGATTATAATGAAATGCTCCATAGACCGAGATGATTCTTTGATATCAGGGGAAGGAGGATATTTTATCACATAGAAACACCTAAGAGAGAGTGATTGTGAATTTAGGTTACAAGTTATCAGAATTCAGTGTGCAGTGGCCGCATTTCCTCCTAAATTAGATGGTACTTACTTGAGAGGAGAGTGATAAAAGGATATTGTATTCAACCTTGCAAGCTGACCTGCGGGTGACAAAGGACACAAACAAGAAAGGTGACATGTCAAGTCTGTGACGCAGTCAAGCTGGTGAATTATTTGGTTGGAAGCCATGCACAGAGACAGAGACAGGAATGAAAGTAGCCTTCTGATCCATCAAACGACCATATGCTCACACAGCAGTCAAGGAGAACCACTGCCACCTTCTCCAGGGCATATGTCTTGAGTGGACACATAGGCCTGTTATATTCTCCTGACCCTTATCTTTGCCTTTCCTTTGAAGTCACTGGGCACGGAAAGGAAAGGAAAGGAGAGAGAAAAGCAGCTTAATATTTACCAGACATGGCAAAAGCTCCAACTGATTCTTAAGCTATTAATAGAATTTCCCTTCATTTTACTCATATAAGGTTAAATTCCTAATTCACTAAAATAAATAAAAACCTAATATTTGATATGAAATGGCTGCCTCCCTTTAAAAAAACACAACCTAGAATTTCAGTTACTGTTGTCACCAAAATCCGGAAACTGATATGAGCTCAAAGAGGGAGGCCTGACAGGCGCCTCTACCAGCATGAACCAGAACATCGATTATTTAACCACATCTCTCTCTTCCTCTGTGCAGCAGAGCCAAATGAGATACGTGTAGGAACGCCAGCCCTCAGAGGTCCCAGAGACACCCTGGCAGCTTCATCCAGGCTAATTTTCTTCCATGGACAGGCCACGGAAGTCGCAAAGAAAGAGCGTTCTCTATGGGTCTGTGCGTCAGGCGACGTTGACTATTTCTGTAGCGTTGAAGGCTTTATATATATAGTCATCGTTTTGTTTTGTCTTTTTTAAATATGACTAGGCCAACATTTTAGTTGCTTCTGAAATGTAGATGTTAAACCAAAAAGGCTAATGGAACATTTGCCTTCAAAGAGGAAAACTTTTGTTTCTTATTGTTGGGGTGGGGTTGGTGGGCTTCAATTTCTCTCTTGCTACATTCTTCTTGGGAAAATATTTCTAAACTTAATCTATAAACATATGAGAAATAGAAGATAATTTATTCTCTCTGCTCCTCTTTCCTTCACTAACAAAGTAAGAGAGCACCACTGCTGACCCAAGGATGTGGAAAAAGCTTGCCTGGCCATTGACAGAAAGCCTGATGTAATAAAATATGAGGCCTGGGGGGCAGCAGGTCTCAACCAGGCAAACCTCCCTGAACCCCAGAACCTCCAGAAAGCCCCAGTGGATTACAGGGAAGGGAAACATACAAGAAAGACAAACAAGGCATAGAACAGTCTCCGTGGGGAAAACGTACCCCCTTTAGGATGAGTTACTAGTTACATGGAGTCCCAATTGAGTGTGTTATGTTCAGTGAATTTTCAGATGGATTCATATACTCCAGTATATATGACAATCTGTCCATCCACACCCTGATGAACACAGGCCTACAACTCCCCCAATATTTCTGGTGAGGTCTGTCACTCTCCTACTTATTTACATTTGACATGAGGCAGGCAGTGAGGGAGGCTGAGGACAAATGATTCAAGGGAGGAGATATTTTATGCTTATTCAATTTCCTTGTGCTTAGCTCTCTGTATCTTTTTTTTTTTTTTTTAAATCTGTGAGAAAAGGCATCTTTCCTAATGATCTTGGAGGAGGATGGACTGTAAGTCACCATGTTTCCGCTAATGTGACATGGCCTCTTCTCACTTTCCAGATCAGAATTTATAAGAATACATGGTGAGTGACAGCTCTAAGAAGTACTTAAAATGTTTACTGTCTAGAATACATGGACTAGGGAGTGCAGTCAGAATATTCCAGAAAGGGAGAGTGGAAGGAAGGAGAAGGCACCGGTTTTTTGAGTAATGGAAAAGACCCAGCCGACGAGGGACTGGGGCAGAAGTGGTGGGTGGTGTGGGCCTGGATCCCTCTACCTGGTAGGCTTCATCCTGCAGCTTCTGCTTCAGATATTCCTCCATCCTGAGCTCATTCTCTAGCTGCCGGACTGAGTCATTTTCATAGTTCTCATCCTCTGGCTGCACATAGGGATCCCCATCTTCTGCAACCCTGGGAACAAACCATAGATGATGTTTTGGAGCAAATCTTGAAAGTATGAGTGGAATTTATGTGTTAGCTATAGTTTTCTTGGCACATTTACGTAGTCCTCCAATTCACTTCTTTGCTTCAATTCACTTCAATTCAGTGTCTGCTCTTACCCCTCAGAAAACCTTAAAAAAACGTTGGAAGTTTGGAGAAATATATGATCAAGGTAATCTCATATGCAATTTTTCTATAGCAGTCTGATTGTTTATCTATGTTTCTCTTGGGTTTACAGGAATGAGTTGCCCTTTAAATGTTCATCAGTCTTAAAAAAGCCAGGCTTGTCTTTTGAGAGGACACAGTTTTCCCAATCTGGGGGCTTTTTTTTTTTTTTTTTTTTTTAAAGATTTTTTTTTTTTTTTTTTTCTATAAGGAAAGTGAGCCCTCTAGTGAAATAATGATTAAGGACACTTGTTCATAATTTAACCCTCTTTGCCCATAGGTAGGCACGTGCCCCCATGTGCTTTATTTTTATAGTAGAATCAAGTCTCAGAATATCAGCTAATTGGTGTCAGGAAAGCTAAAACTCTAACCCACAGCTCTTGATCTTAAAGATTTACACTAGCTCTGAATCTAAGAAATCCACTTAAATCATCCAATTCTATGAAATAAATAGTTAAGAATGATCTCATTCACTAAAGTGTGACTCCATCTCCGTCTACTCATCACAGTATATATAAAGCTCTTCCTGGGACTAAACACAAATTCACTCCCTAACTCAGATGACTAAAGTATTCTCAGGGTAAAACACAGAACATGTTTAGATAGTGCAAATATTAAAATAACCCCTAAAATGAAAAGAGTGGTCAAGCAGAAGTTTCTGGGTTGGAACTTAAATGCCATTGTTCATGTTTATTTATATCTGTATGACATGCTCCTGTTATTTTTAGAGGTTTGGGGCCAGCCTAAATAGGTCTGCGAGGCCTCTCTGAACTTTCCCTCCTCAACTCCTGCAGCCCTGTTGGTGGCTGGTACTGCCACCAGCAGACCAGGGACAGCAGAGTGCGGTGGCTTTAGCTACAGTCTTGGATCTTAGGCTTAAAACAAGGACATTTTAGGTAACCTCCATGTAAATGCTTAATTATAAAAAGCCAAACAGATATGTATTTACCAGACTAAACTGATGACAATTAATTCACATTTTGAATAACAAACAAATCAAATAATTCTGAATTATAGAGGAAAGGACAAGAGAGCAAACTAAAATGAAAAGCAGCAGAACACTGCCATTTTAAATTACGCTACAACTGTTTTGTTTTCATCTAATGCTCTGCCTTTTCACAGCTGGCTTTCAAACCACGTCTATTTATAATTCCCCATTATCACTGGTCTTTTACTCACTACTTAGATCGGGAGCCAAAACACCAGAAAGGCCTCTGGTTAGTTTCTTCTTTGGGTCTTTAAGACAGCCAGTTTATTTTTATAGACTAGTCTGCAGTACTTTACACATTAAGCACCATCACCCTCCTGTAGTTTTTTTTAATATTCAGCAATTCCCTTTCCCAGCCTTTTGTTTTTGCTTAGGCAGATTCGCCCTGAGCTGACATCTGTTGCCAATCTTCCTCTGTTTCTTTTTTTTTGCTTGAGGAATGTTGGCCCTGAGCTAACATCTGTGCCAATCTTCCTCTACTTTATATGTGGGTTGCTGCCACAGCATGGCTGATGAGTGGTGTAGGTCTGCGCCCGGGTACCGAACCCAGGCCGCTGAAGTGGAGTGTGCCAAAGTCAACCACTACGCCATGGGGCCTGACCCCCGCTTTCAAGCTTTTTGATGAGCCTCTGCCCACGTTTCTCACATGTCTCTGAGCCTTGCTCTCCTAAAGGTCTACTTGCTTCACTTCCTTCCCCTCCGAGGCTGGGCTCGGCAGCTCTGTCCCAGCGTCACCTTTGTTTCTCAGCTTTAGTTTCTTCTGCCTGACCCCTTTGAGCTGATCCAGGGTCCCAGAAAGTCTAGTGGGGATGTCACTGATTCTGCTGGCTTCTGTCAAGCTGCAGAAGCCTAATTGGGTGAAAAACTTTGTAAAATGTCTTTTGAGGGTCAGATTTATATGTATTCAACAAGTTGACCAAATTGGATTTCTTTATAATGAGATTTTATACGTTTCCTTATTTCAGTTCCAAATGCTTATATGCTATTGTTTACACACATTCTGAACAGAGGCCTTACCAACATCACTGGGTCCTCTAAGAACGAATATAGTAAATTCAGAGGATAGGATGACTTATCTCTTGAACTAGTCTGTGAGTCCTGGAAGGCTGGGATTGATTTTTTATACTATTTTGTATATAACTAGCACAGTGCCTTGGGCGAGCCAGGGTCTCAATAAGCACTGGTTGGTTTTGGTTGATACTCTTAGGAAATTACGGGGGAAAAGTCATACTGCCAAATTTAAATGTAGCACCCTTCTACTTCTTCTGGCAGAAAAGGAAACTGCATCATCCCTTTCCAAAATAAAGAACTAAGCAACCATGTTTTTAGTTTTCTATGTTCCCTACAGAGTGTTCTGTTACTGAGAAAATACCGCCAAGCAGAAGATACTCACATGTCACCGCGCATACTGCTCGGGGTGGCTCCACTGTGAAGGTACCCGGGTTTTCGGGCATAGATTTGTGCAAGAAAAGCCTTTTCAGAGGTTGGTGACGGGACCAGATCCTCAAACTGAGTCCGTGCAAATTCAGAATCCACATTACTCTCGGTTTCACTCCCCACCTCTATTAGGTACAATTGAAGAAATAAAGAATGACTTAACTTTTTTATGATCAGCAAATAAAGGTCTAGGCTTAACACAGACCAACCTGTGCTATATATAACACTAACCAGTTATTGCATATATGTCAAGTAAGTGTTTATTTTTTTCAAAATGAGAACTGATATGGACATGAATTACTATAAAATCATTTAGTATACAGTTTTGTCTTTTTTATCTCAATAATGTTGTGAGGAATTTTTGTGTCTTAATAACTGACAATTTCTTAAAACTTCTGTTTTTTCCCTCTCTATAAAAGTCTTCATTAAAACTATTGTTACTTTTGCATACTATTACTTTAATTTAGGAAATACAAACCTAAAATATTATATTCACTTACTATTTCAAAATATTATAAGAATATAAACTAATAGTACTTGAGACTTCTACAGTAAGAATAATGTTTTTTATCATCATTTGCTAGGGCAGTGGGTACATGCTATTAATCATGATGTATTAACTACTGTCATTTTTATCCTATTTGGTAATCTTAATCTAAAATAGCAGCAACAATTTTTGTTATTTTAATTCTTATTCTAGAGGCTTTAACAAATTTAAATCCAGAATTGTTTTAATATTGCAGTTTTATTTCTTACACTTGTTGTAATCTCAACTGTATGCCCCTAGTCCTGCCAGACAAATATTTTGCTAGGCAGGCTTTAAAGAATAGATGAGATGCATTAGTAACTGGTAAGATATTTATTTGCATATTAATGCTGTTAACGTTTTTAAAACTCTGTGTAGTATTAGGATAAAGAGTTTCGAAATTCTATGCTATTTATTTTCTGGGCGGATCTTTCTTTAGCGATATTGAGAAGGTAAATTTCAGTTTAGCCTCATTCAAATAGCCATGCATTCCAAATGAACAGAGTCTAAATTAGTAAATAAAACATCTGAACTTATAAAGTAGCTTTAGCATCATGTCACTTTGGATCATGATACATGTTAACAGTGGCTATCTTTTGATTCTAGAATTACAAGTCAATTTTAATATTTTTCTTTGTTCTTTTCTGCATTTTTCAAACTTCCTGCATTGAGCATGTATTAATAATCTTCTTATCAGCAAAATATAAACATTACTAAAAAATATGAATATACCAACAAAATATCAATAGATCTTTAAAAAATCTTTTAATATTCAACAATGAGCAGATCTCTAACAGAGACCCCTAGCACTTATGGGTCCCTCTGCAATGAGCAGACAAATGAGAGGGACCAGGGACTCACCGGAATTCAGCTCTTTCACGAGAGAGGACATGGTGTTAGTGATGGAATCCGCTGCCACTAGTAAGTCATTCCTTAAATTTCTTCTTGAACCTTAAGTGAAGAAGAAATGATAAAAAAAAATAAAAGCTTTTCCTTTTTTCCACATTTTTATGCTGTTTATCATTTCCGTTTATGTCCTAAAGCAAGGAGACCTCCAAGACTTCTCCTTTTCAGAAGTGCCTTGGTTCATTTCCTGAAAAAATACACGGTGCTTAGGGCAGTGGCTTCTGATGTAAGAAGACATGGCAGCTGATGGGGGTTCATAGAATTTATTGTCTAAATTGGGACAATTTTGCAAGCGGAAGGGGGCAGAATTAATAATAAGACTGGCTGACCTGGCACAGACTGGGATGGTCCCAGGTAAACCAATATGTGTGGTCACTCTTGGTTTGTGAAATAACCACACAGATAAAAAGTCTGGTTTTGCCAGGAGAGCTGCACCTTCCCAGGTGCAGCTATCATTTCAGCCATTACCTGATGGCTGAGCACACTGGATTCTGATCTCCATCACCACAGCCTCTGTCTCGATCAGGGTTTCCAGAGCTCCCCCGTCATTACAGGGACCTCTTGGGAACAGGAACCTGTGCGTTGAATGCCCCCAGAGTGTGGAAAAGGGGCAAGGATTCTTGCTCCTGCTGCCATGATGTGGGCAATTGTATATCTGGAACTTAGACCATATTTCTCTATGGGTGAGAAAGATTATGATGATGTTTCAGGCACACTAAAGGTTAAACGGGTATTAGTGGGCTGGCCTGGGAGTGGGGCAAGGCGGAGATGGAACAGTGGGCGAATCATCATCGTGTGTTTGGAACAAAGGGCTCAAGATTTCAAACAGCTGACTTACAGATGAATTTATGTAGCTTGAGCTTTTTATGAGCTGGGGGCTGCCTATAGGCCACATTTCATTCTGTTATTTCTCAGAAAGTAATACTAAATAAGTAGAATAATAAATACATGTAAATTTAAAAAAACCAAAGTAGTTAGATAAAAACATTAATTATAATAGAAAGCTCAAGTTGATTTAAAATACTGTGAATTTCTTTAAAATATGATTTAGAGAAAGGACATTTTTCCTTCTAAAAATTAAAAAAAAGAGAATTATTTGATAGAACTTGAGTTATATTTCAGCACTTAAAAGAGAAAGCCCTGCTATGGATCTTCCCTTTTCTCTCATAACGGAGAGTATCATTCTCTTCCTTTAAAATGTGTTAACATTTTATTCCCCATACACAATGGATGAAGGTGTCTATTTCCTTACACTCTTGCCATCCCTGGATATTACTGATGTTAAACAATTTTTTTTTGAATCTGCTAGGCAAAAGACGATATTTGTTAAATTTGCTTTTCTACAATTATTTGTGAGGTTGAACATCTTTCATATCTCTGTTGGCAGTTTATATTTCTTCTGTCTGTTCATATCCTTCACCTATTTCTGTCTGGAGGATGTCTTTTTTTACTGATCCCATATGCTTATGTATCACAGAAATTATGACACTTGATTGCCACATATGCTGAAGATGGTTTCCTCAAGTCTATTTTTTGCCTTTTGACTTTGTTTGTGTTTCCTTTTAGCTTAAAACTAGTAGTCAGATATGTCTCTCTTTTCCTTAGAAATGTGAGGACCTGGAAGGATGTTCAGGATAAATTGCTAATTTAAAGAAAATGCAAATTGCAGACCATAATGCAATGCATGATCTTATTTGTGTGAAAAAAGAAGAGTCTGTGTCTATAAACACACACTTAAACATACATATTTATATATAAGCAAAACATTGGGAGGGATCAATCTGTTAATAGTGTTTACTTCTGGGAATGACACTGGCAGAGTGAGGGTCTGCAGCAGGATTTTTTTCCTAACTTTCTATAAATTTAGAAAGTGATGGCAAGGAAAAGTTTTAAAAGTGTTGTAATATTTCCAAATGAATAAAATCCCTTGCCTTGGGACAAGCCCCAGCAGTGAGACAATGGAAGAAAGAGGCAGCCGGTGGGAGAATGCTGTTTGTCATCTCACATCACTCTTTGCACTCCTCTAATAATAACTACGGAGGCCTAACCTCATAGCCCCGTATTACAGAGGCAATGATTCAACTCTTTAGGGCATCTGTAAAATGACTAAATATCCTTCTTGATCACCTCAGGGCTAAAGAGGTGGGATTGTTTAACCTCAGTCCTGAATTTGCTTTAATGTAAAGAGAAGAAAGCAAGAAATAAGATCTTTCAGAATTTTAAAATGGGTTACATTTATAAAGTTTCTTGAGATATTAGTCAAAGGATTTCCCTTCCTTAATGAGCAAAGACTCGTAAAAAATGAGGCAGGGCAAGAGAAGCCAAAGGAAGGTAAAATGATGAGTGAAGAACAGATTAACCTTGGGAATTTCTAAAATAGCTCACAGGCCAGGCTCTGAACAAGCCATGGCATACTCTAGAATATCCATGGTGTGGCTCTGACAATTCTAAACTGCTCAATAGACTGTGGTGACTTATTTGTCATGTAAAAGCAGAACACAACAAAAATTAAAGCCACTTACTTTGTGCAAACGCCTCCTGTACATCTCCCCCTACCCCTGTGAGGGAGTCCTGAGGCGTGTGGGTTGGGGTGGTACAGGCTGACGCGGACCGGACAGGCATGGGGATGGGCCTGCTGATGGTGTGGCTGGGGGAGGAGCGAGGAGATCCTGCCCCCTGGGTCTGGAGAGACAATGCAAGTCATTAATTTGTTTTCCCCTCAAAATGCCAAATGCCATCCCCAATGCCTCAGTCAAATGTTAAAAACAGTAAACAATGAAATTCTAAAATAGGAGGAAATCCTAGGTAATTGAGATGGTAATCCTAAACCTGAGTTGCAGGTGCAGATAATTTAAAACCTTATTATATATAATCTGAAGTTTTGGTTACATATTGAAAGCTAAGAATAGTAGTACAGCATTGTTCTATAATATCTGAGATGTGTGCCCATGTAATGAAGCTACTGCTAAGCAGGGATAATTACAAGGTGTGTCTGTTTTCTCCTTGAAATTCTACGAAGAATAAAGAGCCATTAAGGAGAAAGTTTTTTTTTTTAAATTAAATTAAATTAAATTAATTATTTTATTTATTTATTTATTTATTTTTTTGGTGAGGAAGATCAGCCCTGAGCTAACATCCATGCTAATCCTCCTCTTTTTGCTGAGGAAGACCAGCTCTGAGCTAACATCTATTGCCAATCCTCCTCCCTTTTTTCCCCCGCAAAGGCCCAGGAGATAGTTGTATGTCATAGTTGCACATCCTTCTAGTTGCTGTATGTGGGACGCAGCCTCAGCATGGCCGGACAAGCGGTGCGTCGGTGCGCGCCCAGGATCCGAACCTGGGCCGCCAGTAGTGGAGCGCACGCACTTAAACCACTAAGCCACGGGGCCGGCCCGAGGAGAAAGTTTTAAATACAAACTAAGACACTCTGGAATAGATCTGGTTTATGCACTTCCTAAATTTTCAACCTGTCCTGGCATCATCTTTAGAGGATAATTCACAGCTCAATCATGTCACACAATACTATGCATATTAAGTCTCAAATTAAGACTCAGATGAAATGTAAATTGTTTAATCCCTATTGTACAGTAAAAACTGGCTTTGTCAAATTGCTCTCTGATTCAGGGATTCAAATGGGGAAGAGAAAAAAGAAATCTTGGCTTCTAATTTTTGGCTTCTGTTTCCTGTGGGAAATGTCCTTCTCTTCATCCATGAAAAAGCAGTATTCTAGCAGGACAGTAAGACTAGTGGGATTTAAAGATGAGTAAAGCAAAAAGGAGAAAACAACGGAAAACCATGTATCTCTGCACTACAGTCCTCAGCATGAAACCATTCTGAGAGTCACACCTGGAATTTCACGGCTTTGTCTCTTCAATGAGGTCTCTCGGAAACATTTTCTCTGTTATAACAGTTAGTTTACAAAAAGGAAGTCAGTCACGCACGAGTAAGAAAATGCAATGAGACCCTCAAGTACATACACAACAGATTAGGTGTGTGCATAAATCCCATTCCAGTCTGCTGGGTCTGGCCAGGGAGAGTGAGGACTATTCCACAGCAAGGCCCAGAGATTCACCACCAACCCATTCAAACCCTGAGGCATGCACCACGAGAGCAGTGCTCTGGAATATTCAATTTAGATCTTTGCTGTGGGTTCAGCTGCTGCAGTTAAAACACACAACATCAATCCTGTAAAATGTCATGCTGTTAGCTTTCCAGGGCTCAGCATCACACATAAAAGTCAAATCTATAAATTGAGAAAAATCCAGAATTAAAAATGAAGCAAAACAGAACAGAGCACAGAAAATAACTCATGTGATGCCCAATGGGCTGAGGATTCCACTCTTTCACTCTCAACAGTACCTTGTAACGGTCTGTCCGGGCCCAAGGGAGGGAACTTTGCCTGCTCGCGATGCTTTGCAGCCTGCTTCCCCCCGCCTGCTCGAGGAGGGGTGGGGTTTTCCCCAGCAAATTTTGGCAGCTCAGTCTCATTACCAGGAAACCTCTGCTTCTGAGCTACCATGGCATCTCCCTGCTTCCCAGGCGAAAACAAATGACTTCATATTTGAGTCATTCTTTGCCATGTACGAAGGGTTTTCATGTACACCCTCATTGATTTCTTTCCATGACCCATTGAAGTAGGTATCATTACTCTAAATGTGCAGTTGTGGATCCCAGCGCTCAGAGAGGTGAAAAGAATTGCTCAGGAGATGGAGCTAGAGTGGCTGGGCTGGTGTCTGAGCCCAGGTGCTTTGACTGCCCTGGGCTGTGGGGACATGGATGGGCTACGGTCGGTGGAAGGTCCCCCAAAGGAGACAGATGTTGGTCAGGTGCCCTGAGGGCTGCCTCCCCCTTGCAAGCCCTCCTGTGCATCCTTTTCAAGGCAGGGCCCTTAGCAGAGCTCCTGGTTCTTTCTTATCTGTCCCCTTTACCAAGGGACCAGTTGCAGTGGGGAAGAGGGACTGGGAAGTTGGACAGTAGGCTCCTCTTGGCTACACAGCACGGTCACCATCTTAACCCTGGGAAGCCGCTCATCTTCCGTGATAGGAGGTTCGCAGTGATAATACATCTCCACTTTTGCATGTAATTTACAGTGCTCAAAGCACTTTTTGCCTACATTGTTTTGTTTCATCCTCCTAATAATCAGTGCTAGGAATGATAGTAGCTTATCTGTGAATAGCAATTTGCAGTCTATAAAGCACTTCACTTAATCCTCCTAACAACCATGTGAGGTATTATTATTATTCCCATTTTTCAGGTTAGAAAACTGAGGCTCACATGGGATAATTGGGTTTCCCAAGGTCTCTGAACTAGTGAATGGCCCAGATAAAATGGATCCCCAACCTTTAGTCTACAAGCCCAGGGTTTTCCCACGGCACCACAGCTGCTTCTCAGGATTGTGGGCCCTGTGACCAACCATCACACGCTTCATCTACGCTTCGCTAAGCGTAGAAAGATTTAGCAACCTGGAAGCTGGGAAGGCACGGGGCGTGGAGCCACAAGCGAGTGGTGTTGGAGCAGCAGCCTGGGGCTTCCTGCTGGGCCAGGCAATACTTTTTAGTTGCTGGGTCATGGGGAGCAGTGTGAGTGCCCAGGGTGGTAGAAGAGGCTTTGGGCTGTTTATCAATCAGGACAGAAATACAGGCCCGCGATCTCTTATCTGTACATGTGAAATCGCAAAAGCAACACATGTTATTTCATAACTGATGGGAGGCTACTTATGTGGTATCTGCACTGTACTGCATTTCTAAAACCTGAAAGATTCTGAATTCTGGAACATATCTGGAGCCAGCGATTTCAGATATGGGGTTGTGGGCCTGCGTTTCGATCTTCTAATGGCTGCATGGGGACTGCATTGCACACCAGCCCTGCTTGCACCTGTTCCACCAGGCTCTCCAGTACACGGTGCTGGTGAGGCAGGCCCCCTCCGCTCTGGGCACTACACCTGGCCCTCCTAACCCTCCTTTCTGTGAGTCTCTTACCTCTTGGCCATGCACTCTCCTTCTCGTGCACTGAGCTCTCCTGCTAACTGTGTTTGAGGTGTTCCCAGCCCTACCTCTCCCAGCTTAATGCCTGGTCTCCAAAGCCAACTTTTCCTACTCCTTTCTGCCTGCTTCTTTTCTTCAAAACTCCTATTAGTGGTTCTGTGTTAAGAGAAAAATAATCGACTATAGTTATGTGTTAAGGGAAAAACAATTGATTGAGTCTAATTACACCAATGTGTGAATGACTAATAGCTACCATCTCCTAAATGAATCTCTAATTGGTGCAATTTCAAGCAGTCTGATTATGTGAAGAATTTAGGTGGAAGATTCTGTACTGAAGAAAAGATTCAGCTGCATCTTTCCTGCAATTCACAACTCCCAAGTCATGTCCAGTCTTTACCCAGACTTTTGGGAGTAGGACCCTGGCTTCCTGGGCAATCATGGCCCCATCTCTCTTTGTCAGGACACTGTCCAGTTTGATGCGTAGTACCTTCCTAAGACCCACTGCTGGAAACTCCATCTCTGGCTTCCCTTTCTGTTCTGTTCTTGTAGGGCCACCAGGAAAAGGGAGTTGTCTCTAGGCATTGGGGTAGATCAGTGGAGATCACTGAGTTTCATCTTCACAGGTAGTGGCCCCTGTAGAATGGTGGCCTCGGGGCTGGTCATGAAGCATGGTTGTCTGCTAACAACTTTAGAAGAGCTAGAGCGACTAATCTCTGTGAACATCCTTTCCTGGAAATTAGTTGATGATTAATGGAGCAAAGACTTAAGGGACAACGGTCCATGCAGATCAATATATAGATCTAAAATTCCTGAGAAGAGGGTTGATTTATGGAGGAAGGAAAACATATATCATCCTTGGCAAATTTAAAATAGCTCTCTTCCTAGAGAATAAATGAAAAATTCATTTCTACACTCCATTCTCTGAGTCCACGCAACCTGCTGTTGTATCAATTTTTAAAAAGTCTGACAAGATCTATAAATTTTCTGATTTTTTCCAGGAAGTATTTTGGTTTCCACTCAGCACCAGAAAGGAGGGATGCTTTAAGGAAAGGACCGAATGTCTATTTGCTGAACCAGCACCTGGTGAAACAGCAGAGCAGATGACCAAGAGACAAGCATGGGTGGCATTATGCACTCCCTCCCTCCAACCTGAAAAGTCTGTCTCTCAGGCTTGGCTGAGAATGCAGCCCAGTTACGCTTGGTTTTACTTGTCAGTCTGGGAAGGTACAGCAAAGCAGTGTGTAGCTATAGTCAATCATCTTTTCATCCTTTTTTCAATATAGATTCACTGACTATCATCATAGGGATTGTTGTATACTAAGTGTTGTGTGGATACAGATGAGGCAACTAATTCTGACTGGTCAGGCAGGAGGCATCATTTGACTTGAGTCTTAATAGCGGAGATTTCTAGGCAGAAAAGAGGAAGTACTGGGAGGAGAGAAGAGCATTCCAGGCCTTCGAGCATCATGAGTAAGGCATGAGAAGTGTGAGGGGTATTGCGCATACGGTGTGGAGGCCAGTGTGGATGAAGCACCAGGCTCACTGTGGGGAGTGAAGGGGCCTGAAGCTGGGAAGGGGTAGAGCCAGTTTGGAGGGGCCTCCAATGTCCTAAAAGGGGCTAGCCTTTATCCTGAACTAGAGGGTTATCTTCCAAAGTTTTTAGGCAGAGAAATAATTTTTACTTTTCTAGACTCACTTCACCAATCTTTAATTTTAAAAAAGGATGTGACAGAGTCTGGGAGGGTATGTTTCTGAACACAAGCTGTTAGTCCTAATATTGCAGTTGATTATTCATGATGTGAATTATTCTCCCTCCCCCCTATTTTGATTGCTTCACTGCTCCACAGAACACCCACCAGAGAGGATGAGCAGGGGAAATAAAGGAAGGTGACCCTAAGCTGGTAAAATGTGTCATTTCTGGCCTGTTCATACTTCATAACGTGTTTGGAAGAAGCAGGAACCTGAGTGACCACGATTTCCTGAGTTAATTGGGTCATCCAATTGTAAATAGAGAAGAGAATAGGGGCAGGAAATGAAACTGGAATGATGTTTGACTTTCTTCCCCTGACTGAGACTCTGTTAGTTAAGCATAAGGAAGAGAAGTGAATGTGTGTGTGCGTGTGCACGCACGTGTAAAACATGGGTCAAATTACAAAAGTGTACATATTCTTGTGTGTATGTGTATACATATATACATACACGCATACTTATACCTGACGTGCATATAATACTTTACAAAGTGTTTTCACACCCATTATCTTCTAAAATCCACACACCAACCCTGTGAGTGATGTATTATCAGTATGTTTGAAATAAATTACCAGGAAGTTAATTGACACTCAAGATCTTACAGCTGTGAGTGTAGAGCTGGGACCACTATAATTCAGGTCTAACTTCAGTAATCTTTCTAAGAAAGTTAGTATTGATACTGTACTTTCTGAACTCAAAGTCAGGATACTTGGTTTTAGATTGAGACATAATATTTGGAACTGGAAGTATACCAGAAACTCTCAAACATACCATCGTTGCAATTATACCCCAGCCACCTTCATTATCAAACTTTTTATGAGTGTTCTTTTTATGGTTCCTTCAATAAATCTTAAAAATAGACGAAGAAGAAAGAGGGTAGGATAATTTCGATTCAAGTTTTATAAAAAAAATTTATTGCTCATGATACCATAATCATCATATTATATTACAGGCACTATTTTTTTGTGTTTAATTCATGTTCTCTCCTCAAGGGGGATAAATTCATGCATTACCTCTAACAAGAAACAGTATAAGTAGGAATTATATATACCAGTAATAAAATACATTGAACCACACAGACTTATGATAAAGCAAGTAGAGGTTATTAAATCAAGCACAATTTGTTGTGTGCCGTGTCTTAAATCTGATTTTACAAAGAGAATGTCCCCAAAGGGAAAAGGCTCATAAATAAAAACAGAATTTAGAAGCACATGCCAGACTAAAACCTCTAAATTCTCTCCTTAGATCATGTTATACCACAAGAAGTTTATAAATTTGGATGGCGTTTGTTTATTTCCTTGTAGATCTGCTCTACAAGATCGGGACATACGGAGTTCTGTCTTCAATTTTGACTGAAGGTCAGTGTAAGAATAGTCACATGAAATCTACGACGGCATTTGTCCATTTCATTATTCAGTACTCCTTCTAGAAAGCTCCAAGTGAAGACTTTCTGTTTATATTTTACACCAGGAGAAATTTTGGTCCCCTGAGAACTGGTATTTCTGTTCTGATAAAACCACCAATTATGTTTTCCTTTTTTTGACTCATTGCCAGAAAGCTCAGAGTAACACCCTTGTCCCTTATGATTAGGATATTCGCATTTTCTTTTCTTTAGTTTTCAATTTTTCTATTTCTATTTTATGAAGTCATTGTGTATGTCTTTTGTTGTAAGCTGCCTCGAGTCCTTTTTGAAAAGAGACTTGAGTACAAAAGCAAATAAATAAATAAGACAGGTAAACTCTCTCCCCACCCAGACAACGCATCGCTGATATCTGGGTGTCGCCAATAACGGCCCTTAAGTATGCATGCAGCAGTACCACTGCCAGCTGACTTTCAAAGATGCAGTGGCTGTTGAGGGCTCAGTGGGGTGGAGCTGGAAGGAAAGGAGGCAGTAATGCTCTTATGGGCACTGCCATGGTTTGGCTCTATGCATCCATCTGTTTACGTACTTCCTGGCTCCATGTATCCATCAGTTTATAAGCTTCCTGGCTCTACGCATCCGTCTGTTTATGAGCTTCTGGGCTCTGTGCATTCATCAGTTTATGGACTTCCTGGTCCACTGAGCCTTTCAAGAATGCATTGCCTGGGAAATGGTAGAGAAGGGGTCCCTGAGGGAACTGGCTCAAGCAAGGCTGACTAACTACAGAATGATTGCCCTTTCTCTCCACTAGGAGGAGGGAAGTTATATCTGAGCCTTATTTGCTTTTATCTGTGCACATGCGAATTTAGAGACAGGAAAGAAAAGAGGCCATTTGCAAAGAGAAGCATCACAGCAAGGCATTTTTTTCTGCCATGATCTAAGTGTATTGGAAGTACAACAGCAATACCCCATGTATGCATTTATGGGCAATTATACAGGCTGTAAATGTGTGTCCTTCACCCAGGGGCACTGTCTCTCATTAAAATTTGACTTTAGTAAAGTAATTGTTTTCACAAAATACAAAATAATGTAATACATTGTCTTTATTGTCTGACATTACAGATTAGTTTTACACTTTCCTTTTTTACAGACCTTGGGAATGAAGGGTAAAAATGTGTCCAGCATTTTGCAAACATTCTTTGTTACACACAAACACACACAACAAATAATAGGAAAGAGAATACAGAAGAATTAAAAAGTGCGTTGAAACTGGACAGGCTGTGGTTCTAATTGATCCATGGAAATAATGTGAAACTTCTTCATAATACTAGTGAGTGGGATATATTGTCATACACAGCTTGATACATGCACTTGAAATTAAAGCTGCTTTTATTTTGCTCTATTTTCTTTTATTATTATCTCTTAAGTATGCTGCTCCCTCTGCTGGCTTCTGAACCTGACCACAGGGTCAGACAGGGCTTCAGTTTAGGCTATAGTTAGAGAGTCACAATGCTTCTTCTTCTAGAAATGTACATAAGAACTTGTGGACTCCCAGAGCAGAAAGGTTCTCGGTGATAAGAGAAAGCCTGAAAGTTATCTATTCTTTTGAGATTATTGTCAACCAACAGTAGGGATTTGTCTTGAAGAAAAATTAAACTATGGGAAGTAAACAGTTACTGAGTACAACTTTTCTCTCATAAGATTGAGCACATTTTGGTGAGCAGTGGGGAACAGGGCATAATAATTATGCAATGAAAAAAGATGTCATTGGTTGGTTTTTATGAAAAGAGGTTCTACACCTTTTCAGTAAAATGGAAACTGAACTGAATATTCACAGTGTGAGAGGATGATGAGGTTAGCTTCTAGTTGCTGTGGGTTTTACTGAGTGTAACTTTAGTGACTGTGATGGGTATCTTTCTATTAAGAGAAGGATCTAATCAACCACCCAGAAAAGCATGAGACTGGTTTGAAACTTAGACCCTTGGAGGTCTAAAAAGTTTCCAACAAATTACAATTTGTTCTCTCTTCTAAAAGATGTAATAGCTCTTCATTTGTTGCCAACAGTAGTAATAGTTATAAAAAATGCTAAATTTTATATATCTCAATTCAAGCACTACATTGAAAAGAAAGCAAATTAGTATGATTTTTTTTTTTTCTCTTTCCAAACTGAAGCATGAACATACATTAGAGGCAAAAGCAATGAGAAAAACGGCAGGACGGCAGGCCCCTCCACTGTTAGTTAAGACCTGCAGTAGGGGACATAACTTACTCCCTGCTTCAGTTCTTCTTCCTACAGAAAGATTGAATCAATAATAGTTAGGTTGCCCAGGGTTCCGATAAGAGCATGTACACAGTGTGAAGGAACGCAAGGTGGGGGAAACATCAACATGGATTTGATGGCAGGTCAAGCCTTTTCTACCTCAGTGACTTTCATTCCAAGCATATTTAGGTATTTAAGACTATAGACCCATCTCTCTCCTCCAGGCTTCCAACCATCTTTCAACACAATCTCTCTCCCTATCCTGGTGTTTGTACATCTGATACATCCTGGACAGTGTTCACTTAGGCTAGGTTGATGCCACGATGGCTAGTGGTAAATAGACTCCTATCCCATCGCTATGGTGACAGAAATTATAGGAATATAAGTTGGGGGCTGTTTTCAAAGCTTCCTGTCACTCAGTGAAGGGAAAGATGTGATCAAGCCCTCTTCATTTAGTATATTTGGAAAGGAAAGCAGAAAGAGCTTTTCTGGATCATCCAATGAGATAATAGGCCAGAAACAGCAAGAGGTCATTAAATATCTAGTCTATTTTAACATACATAGTACAACAAAAACTGAATTCTACACTTTAAAAGTCTAATACACTGAAAAGTAAATTTTGTTTAGTAAAGATAAAGCATTCCCAACACTGATGGCAGGAAAAGTTGACTAAGGAGTTAAAAAGAGTAAAGACAACAAAAAAAAGAAGTGTTATAGCAGTGCCTGGGACACAGTAGGTTTCAAAAAGTATTTGTTAAATAAATAAAAGAAAGGAAGGAAGGAAAGAAAGATAGAAAGAAAGAGAAAAGAAGGAAGGAAAGAGAGAGAAAGAGAGAAAGAGGAAGGAAGAAAGGAAGGAAGGAAGGAAAGAAGGAAGAAAGAAAAAGAAACAATACAGAAACAATAAATTATAGTGTATCAGGGTTGTGGGGGATCCACGGACCAGAAGTCAGGACATCTTGTCTCACAAGTGAGCTGTCCGCAGGGCCCTGGCCTCATCATTCTATAAGAAGTTTCAGTTCCTGCCTTTGGCATGGCACAGTTCCAATGCACACTGGTTCCTGCTTGTTTACATCAGGCAGGCTCTGACACCTCTACTGGGCTGACTGTGGTCATGTGACCATAATTAGTCTACTTTTGAATTGAAATGTAATTTGGTGTATACTGAAGAAGAGAATAAGGATTTATTAAAGGAATAATGTCACTTCCCAATGAGAATAATAGATTATAGCACTCTGCGGAGGACTTCCAGAGATCATCTTATTAAACACTCTATTGCAGGAAAGTAAGGTGATATTCCCAGTTACATTTTGCATTTGAGACCCACAGAAATTATGCGACTTTCTGCTAAAGCCACAGAGATGAGATAACATATTTTACTGAAATGAACAGTTATTCCTCTTAACAAAACTATAATCACTAAAATTATTTAATGGCTATATCTTAATTTTCGGAATTAGACATTAGCTTCTGTTCAATTTAGTCAGAATTGGTGAAAGTTATTATATGTAAAATATTTCTAAATAAATATTACTTTCAAAAACATAAGGAGCTGGAAATAAGCCAAGAATAAGTTGTCCCATGAAGGTCCTCCTCAGCTGTCTGTTTCCAGAAAATGGATAAGAATGAGCCCTGTAATTGCTACCATTTCATGTATCTAAGAAATGATCCTATATCTGAGTTTGAAACCATATTTTGGGGGAAATCACATATAATAATTGGAAAAACCATTGCACATTATGTGCAAACATTTTTACAAAAGCCATAGTCATAGGTCTAGGAAACATTTATTTGAAATGTCTTACCTTTAGTAGCTTCATGAGACCTTCTAACTGGACCATTAGCTCTCTCCGGCTCTCCTGGAGAGCAGACATTCTCTGCTCCAGCTCATCCTTGCGCTGTCTAAGAAAGAAGCAGTTGTCATCAGAGATAGCATTCAACTCACTCAGGTAATCACATTTCCCAATCTTGTGGGATTAGTGGATCACCAGAAAAAGGGCATCTTTTGGTCTTTGACATGATTACCAGGGGAAAAATGTTGTCGAATGAACAATTATAGCTTGAGGTGTATGTTTATTTGTTGGAAGTCATACTAAAACAGAATTAAAATCTGTTCAGACACTACCCTCTTATAGCCTGATTCAGAAAGAATACCTTATTGAGAAAGAATAAATTTTTTCTGAATGCTTACTATGTTGTGGGCCCTGTGCTGTACCATTGGGTTCCCTCGAGACAACAAACAAAAACCAAACTATCACTGAAAAAGACCAATCCCACAGATACTCCCAACCCAAGGACACTTTCATAAATCTCACAGAAAATACTGATTACCTTTATTTGGAAATTGGGTTTAGAAAATACATTTTTAATCCCTTCCATCTTTAGTATGCAATGTAGTGCCTTTCAGAGGTGAAATATTAATGCTACATAGTTACTATAGTCAATCTAAATTTTCTGGTTTGGATTTGGTTTCATAAAGTGAGGTTAGAATACAGGAGTTTGTCCATAAGTGTTCTAACTGAAAATAATCTACAAGGTTTATGCTTTATAAATTTTGTTTTGTTTTGCAGAACTTCTATAAGATTGTCAGCAAGAATGGAAACCACGAAGGACAATCTATATCCTTTACAGTGACATTAAGAGGTACAAAAATATATTTTAAAGAGGGAAAGAAATGAAACAGCATGGAGAAAATATTAATGGTTCACATTTCTGAAGAATATGTATACTTTTCAAATCAATTTCAAATTTATTATTGCATGACCATTAGTGAATAAGTAATATATACAATTTTTTTCCTTGACTGAAAGCCTTCTGAGTTTGAAATATTAGGACTTGTATTTTAAAAATGCATGGGTGCTTTAACCATGTATGCATTAATGTATGAATGGATATGCCTAGTCTCAATGGTATAGATACAATATTAAGTGGAGCCATGGCGGGGACTCCGAAACGAAAAACTGACAATATAAAAATGTCACACTGAGTTTGGTCAATGACTCATCCAATTGAAAGATATTTTGTTGGAGGACAGGTTATGGATATAGATGGGACATTCCTAATTTGCTTTCACATAGGTTTTCTCTATAACGAATTATGAATTTAAAACGTATAAACATATCTCAACCCTTTTTGAATACATTTATACTTTTGGCTTTTATTGCCCCTTAAGGCTTACTCCCAGAGCAATCCTTCCTTTGATGTCCTTAATTCAGAAAAGGAGGAACATCCTAATTTTATAGACTTTAATGGTATCTTATTTTAGTCTTTGTCTTCCTGGGCTGAAGCATTCTAATTTTGAAAGTCTTGCCCCATTCAAAAATATTCATCAATGACAAGTCCATTAGCTGTTTTTTCTCTGACTTTGTCTGCACATGGTGTTCCAAATACATCCCCCGTAGGGCTTAGTAGAAGGATAGATAATGTTTCTGATTTATTTCCAGTTCTCTTCTAGGTACTGCTCTATAATTTCTGGCCTTTTGGCCACAGGGGCACTTTAGGAAGAAGGTTGAAGCAAAATTCTAATATTGTAGGTAAGAAATACTAAGAGAGGCATCTAAAAACTATCAGAAAAAGTTAACTAGTATTAATTTATAATTAATCAACATTAAAAAAAATTATTTGTACATTTACCTTACAGGAGCAATCTTTCAAAACATGACATTTACTCTTTCATGCATTTGATTGAATTCAATTTTTTTAAAGCATTCATTTAATAATGTCTTTATTTAATCTTCTCTATAATTGTTTACACCAGTGGTCTGATAACAAATCTATGGTGTAGCCTCCACCATTCCAAAGAGAAACAAGAAAACAAGGACTAAGCAGTGATTTCATTTTCATAGAGCTAAATGTATTCATCTCTAAAGGAATGCCTTTTATTCTGAAATTCTGTCAGATTATTTCTAATTTTGTATGTGCGTTAAAACCTACTTTCTTTCAGGATAGTCTTGGGACAATAGGCAAAATTTTAACAAGAATTGTATATAAGACAATAAATATCAATATTAACTTTCTGGAATTTGATGATGGTATCATAGTTATATAAGAGAATATCTTTTTTCTTAGAAAATATACACATTACTTAGGGGTTGCAGACGATGTCTGCAACTTACTCTCAAGTGGCTGATCAAAAAGTGTATGTAATTTTATATATAAATATATATAGAGAGAGAGATAGAGGAAGGTGTTTCAAAAATATTAGCAATCTCTAGGTGAAGTGTAGAAGAAAACTCATAGTAACATTCTTACAACCTTTCTGTAGGCTTAAAACTTTTTCAAAATAAAAAGTTAAAAAATACACTGCCATTCATGAAACTGTTGTGATAACAGATGATGGTAGTGTTTAAAAATGTCATTTTATGATAAAACAAAAAGTACTCAACTTTATGTTATTTCCCAAAAATAGTAAAAAAAAATTAAACTGGTCTATGAAATTCAAGTATGGAAACTTGCATCAGTTACAATTTCATTTTTAATTGGTAAAACAAAAAAAAAGTTACTTTATATTAAGTTTTCTTAAAGAATAATTTTATATAGATTGAAAAGAATGCAATTTTTTGGGCATAGAATATGACACATTTTTTTAGGCAAGGGATAGATATGAAAAATTATACTTGTTTTTCTTGAGATTTGTAGTGTGAAGTTAGTTGCTTCACAGTTTTAATAAATGTTTTCTTCATTATAGAAGATGGTATTGTCTTTGCAAACATAGTTCTTCCGCTGTCTCTTCATGGTTTTGCAGTTTATTCATTCATCCCACAACTATTTATTCAGCACTTTCGTTTTAAGACACTATAAATAAAATAATGAGTAGGAGACAGTTTTTGTCCTTGGGTGAGAGAAGGAGACATAAATAAGTTCAAAACAATAATGGTGAGTGTATAATAAAAATAAGAACAAAATGCTATATGTGGTAAAACTAAGACAACTAGTTCTATATGGTGGTGGAAAGTCAAGAAAGGCTCACTAGATCACCTTGCAAAATTTCCCTCAAAGACTCCATCTAAAGCGGGAAGGAAAGACCTGGGGAACCATATGGAATGTTCCAGACCTTTCTCTGCTTCATCTGTGCCTCTTGATTGCCTGTACTCTTGAAATTATTAGTAAAGCTCAATACTGGAGTAAATCTCTGATTCACGTGAGTCTGACTTGACAATCTAATCCCTGTGTTAGCTCAATATGTAACTCGCATTCTTCAATGCTTTTCTGTTGCAGGATTAATAGCAATATCCTCAAGATTCTCTGTGAGGGCACACAGCGTCACGGCGTACCCCTACCTACATCTTCAGCTCCATCTCCTACCACGCATCTCTTTATTCACTGCGTTCTAGGTCTATCGACCTTTTAGTTCCTAAGAAAGTACTAGATTCCCTCCTGCCATATAGTCTCTACCTTCCAGGAGACCCTGTCATCAGCTGTCGCAGCCCCTCCCTGTCCTTAATCCCCATTCCCTATGTCCCATCCTTCATACTTCAACTCAAACAATCCTTCCTCACAGTAGCCTTTTCTGAGCTAGTGAAGGGCAGGTTTTATAATCATGACTTTTTTTTAAAGGAAGATTCCTTATGGCACTTGTCTCAGTTTATAATTATATTCTTATTTGTGTGATTATTTGATTTAGGTCATTTTCCTACTAGATCATAAATTCTGTGAGACCAACCACAGTATCTTTTCCAACTCATCATGGTATTACAATGCCCAGAAACTTTCTGGGCACACAGCACTTTGGAAATATGTGTTGAATGAATTAAATGAATAACAACATAAGGAAAGATAATTCTGATAGTAGTGTAGATGGACCAGAGGCCAGGAATCAACTAAGCGCTCATTATAATAGTCCAAGCAAGAGATAATTGAGACCCAAGAAAAGGAGATGGAATCTACCTGTGCTACCCATTGTGTGGAATCTTGGGAAATTATTTAACTTCTGTGAATCTCAGTTTCCATATCTATAAAAAGAGTACAATAATGGTGTCCATCTCACAGGTTTGTTACAGCAATTATATGCGACAGTGTATGTATAGCTTAGTGCATAGGAAGTGTCAGATTAGCACACAGAAATGCCTATCATATAATCCTATTCGGTTGCCAGATCTGGGTTGCCAACTTGGCTCTCAGCTTTCTTGTGGCTAATGTACAAAGGGAAATATGATCATTTAGAAAGGCCATAGTGCTCTTAAGATAAAAATAAATTGCGTTCACGAAAAGCAAAGCTCTGCTCCCTTCTCCCCTCCCCTGTCCCTCAGCTGAAAGAAATTTCTCCTGTTGGTTTCTCAACAAGAGGCCCAGGAAGGATGTGATGGATGGAGAGGATCTGCATCAAAGCTACAATGAGGAGTCCCTGTGGCTGCATCACATGACCCCCCCTCAGTGTGAACTGAGGCCAAAGTAACTGTGCAAGAGGCCACTGTTTGGGAGCTCTTTGAAAGTCTGAAATAACTAAGGGATAAGACTTAGAATATCCAGAGCAGGGTTTCTTAAGCTGGGATGTCAGGGTATCTGTGAAATCCCCAAATTGTGAAAGTGCTTAGCACAGAAGTAGTTTATAAGTATCTGGAGAAAGATCCTTCAAGGGAAGATATTTCTTCTTCTTTTTCCAGGCAGAAGAAATGTGTAGAATAGGGAGGCAGGCAAGCAAATCAGCTGGGATTTAGGTGCCTCAGGCCTCAGGCCTCAAGCCTCAGGTGTGGGCCACCCGCTGACAGTGAGGGCCAAGAGTGCAGACGTTCTCGCAGAGCCACACTCCTCAGTGTAGCTCTGGGCTCAGCTGGGGCCATGGGGATGCACACAAGTCAGGGCCAGAGGATGGTTAGAATTATCAGTCTGTTCCAAGATAGCAACATCAAGGAGGGAAGAAATATCAGTTGGAAAACTCCTCATCAGTGACCCAGGCACATCCAGATGCCTTCACAGACTGTACCATCCAAACAGGACCAAATGCTTTAGAAAGTAAATGCTAACTGGGGGCCACTGATGAAAATGCTCATAAAGAATTCCTAGTCATCATCCCTCCAGTATAGCATGGGATAACCAATAGAAGAGGTATAAAGAACATTTCAGGCAGAGACAAGGTATCTTGATGTGTACATGGATGACTTACTCTATTTCCTAGGTGATTTATTCAGTTATATTTCTGTGTACATTAGACATAACTTTCAACTTGTGAGCTTAGAGAGCCTCCATAATCCTATTAGGCAAAATATTCTTTCAAGCAAGTATTTACTTTTATATGCCTTTGAGGAGGAGGATGATATGAAATATCACTTTTTCCTTCTTTTCATTTTCATCCCTTCTGGAGGATGGTGTAGTAGAATGTGCAAGGATAGTAGAATGTGCAAGGATTTCTAATACGTCTCTCCGAAGGTAGGACCAGAAATCATTTAGAATCTCTGTTTATTCCATTAAATTATTTTGTTATTCAAAAGTATGATGCAATCTCTTCACATCAAGCAGCCCCCACAAATTGCAGGTTCTGTAATCTGATCTCCTTTCCATAACTCAAGCCTTTGGTGGGTCTGCCCCTCCACCCAAGTGCCCCTCCAGCCAGGGAGAGGTAGAATGGATCCCAGCTGAGAGCAGGCAGGGCCTTCGGCCTCAGCTGGGAGTGCTGCCGTGATCAGATGTTAACACGTCTTAAGAGCAAGGCTGGGACGGAACCCCCAGAAACATCTATGACTACAATCAATAGGGACTTGGTAAAATCCAAACATAGCCATACAGAACCTGCCTAATTTAGTCACTTTGTATGGACAAAGTAAATGGTACTCTAATTCTGACAGGGGTTTCTGAGAAGCCCACAGCATGACTTTCCTTTTGCACACAGGCATGGTGGGAGTTGCTACAGTCCTCATCTATGTCCTGCTACTCTCTACCTTTGTTTTTATTTTTGCTGAGGAAGACTCACCCTGTGTTAACATCCGCTGCCAATCCTCCTCTTTTTTTTTTTGTGAGGAAGACTGGCTCTGACATCCATTGCCAACCCTCCTCTTTTTGCTGAAGAAGATTAGCTCTGAGCTAACATCTGTGCCTATCTTCCTCTATTTTGTCTGTGGGACACTTCCACAGTGTGGCTCGATGAGCGGTGCATGGGTCCGTGCTGGGGATCTGAACCTGCAAAGCCCAGGCCGCCGAAACAGAGTGTGTGAACTTAACCATTATGCCACAGGGCTGGCCCCAATCCTCCTCTTTTTTTTTGCTTGAGGAAGATTCGCCCTGAGCTAACATCTGTGCCAATCTTCCTCTATTTTGTATGTGGGACACCACCACAGTGTGGCCAATGAGTGGTGTAGGTCTGTGCCCAGAATCCAAACCTGTGAACCCAGGCCGCCGAAGTGGAGTGCACTGAACTTAACCACTATGCCACGGGGCTGGCCCCAGCTTTCCACCTTTCCAACTCTGAGAAGTGCACTGAAATTCAGGTGTTGAACTAGATGACTTTCTTTTTTTTTTTTTTTTTTAAAGGTGTTGCTTGTTTTTTTTTTTTTTTTAAAGATTTTATTTATTCATTTTTTTCCCCCCAAAGCCCCAGTAGATGGTTGTATGTCATAGGTTCACATCCTTCTAGTTGCTGTACGTGGGACTCGGTCTCGCGTTGGACGGAGAAGTGGTGCCTCGGGGGCGCGCCCGGGATCCGAACCCGGGCCGCCAGCATCAGAGCGCGCGCACTTAACCGCTAAGCCACGGAGCCGGCCCTAGATGACTTTCTAAGGTCCTTTCCAACTCAAATATTTTATGATGACAGAGTAGATAACACCAGGTCTTTTAATTCATTTGCAAAACAAGAAGGCATGAAGTCTATTTTTAAACATCTGTACGTAAAGCTATTAGGGACCAATATTTAGAGAAAATCAGATTCCTTTTTATGGGTTACAGGTAAATTTTTAAAGGTAAAAACCTACGATGTTTATTTAGCTATTCGTGTGTTTGTTTTGTTGATCACTTGCATCATAAACATGTTGTTGATAGTGCAAATAACTAAAAAGAGTTGAGCTCAAATTTTTTCCAGTGAGAGATTCTGTTTCTGATCTAAAGAAACTGTTTCCTTTTCTCTCTGTCAAATGAAAGAATAAAATATAAACAGCCTCTCCTCCAAACCCCCCAATCTCAGCAGTTAGGTGCGTGCTATTAAAAAAAAAGCAACCAAACATCAGCAGCTATGGTGGCTAAGGATTGTTTTCTGGCTCGACACTGTTAGACTTTATTGAAGATCTCAAACACCTGCATTCCTTGAGGTGCCTTGGGATCCCTCTCTTACCTGAGGAGCCGGAGTTCTGCCAGCAGAGTGGGGTTTTGCTGCGCCTTCTCTGGAGTGGGCTGAGAAGCTTGTTCATGCTCTAGCCGCAGCCTCTGGATCTCCTGTAAGATTTCTCTTGGGAGAGAGGAGGAAGGTAAGAAACCAGAGTCAGTTAACTTCCAGGACATCCAGGATCTAACATCTGAGTAGGTCAGGGCCACCAGAGTGAAGAAAGAAGGGATCACCCTACGTTTAGGAGCAGAACCGACCCTCACTAACCAACGGTGTTGACGAGGCATTGGCTGCAGCTAGTTGGGTGCTGTGGGTGAGAGGATACTGACTTCATCTCCAGTACATCCAAACCATGAAGACTCTGCTGTACCTCACTGGAGCCTTCAAGCTGAGTGTTCTCACCAGGACCTAATAATCTTTCTAGTAAGTAATATAATGCTGTAGTAATGTGTTCAGCTTTGAGAAGTACACTGCTTAAGAGACAAAAATGCATCTTCCTATTATTTATGATCACAGTCTGACACCATAAAGTACCTGCAGCTACCAAGTAAGAGCTGCTTGGAGGGAAAGTAAGGATAAATGGTGCTCTTTTCACAAAACTAAATAACCCCATTTTCTCACCAGGAATGAAATTCCTCTCACTGAACTTATCTGAGAAGCCCCCAGTTAGGCAAAATTCTTTCTCTTTTTCTTAACATTTTCAGCCTTAACAATGGATCTCAATGAAGGTAGTCTTAGAAGGAAAGTGCTTTTAAAAGGATTCACTGTAGTTGAGTCTGTGACATAAGACTGCTCTTGGTGTGACCTCTGTCAGGGGTGAGACATGCCAGTCTATTATTGATGTTGGGGCCTAGGCTGCCCTGCATTGAGGTGAACATTGGGCCGGCCATAAAGGGTAGGTGACCTGTGTAAGGCAAATTATCCCTAAGTGAGTTCGAAGCCATTAAGCAAGGTTATAAGTCATGTATTGTTGGGGGAGGGGTCAGTCTCCCACCCAACAAAATGCACAAGAGCCAATAAGACAGAAAAAAGCACCAAGAATGGAAGGTGAACTTGGTAAGCAAAGGAGATGGCTTTCCATTTGAAAGGTTGATTTACAACTGCCTGCTTCACAAACACACCAGAATCAAGAAGCTAATTACCAGTCACTACACCTTTCATGGGTATGGTGAAAAGGTTGGACTATAATTCAGTGGTTTTCAATCTTTTTTTTTGTCCCCTTTGGTGTTCCATGGTGGAAATCTTTAAAAGAAACTTCTATGAAAACACAATATGTCAAACAGTTAAAAGGGAGCTGCTCTGGTTAAAGAAAGGGCGGGCCCCTGTGCTGCTAGGTCTTCCTCTCCTGTCTTCAGGCACCTCTGCTGAGCCCTCTGGTCCCATAGAGCTCAGCCTGAAAATCAGTGAGCTGGGATTTTGAAGATCTTCAGGGCTAACATCCTGATATTCTATGACTCCCACTAGTTCTCCTGTTGATTCTAAGAACAGAACCATAGCAGATCCATTTAGCTCAAGGAAGGAAAAGAGAGAAGCAGCTCTGATAAGAAAAAACAATGGCAAGATATGTAATGAGCATTGAGCACTTTAGTCTATACCCAGGAACTGTGCTGTCTTCTTTAATCTTATTTTATTTAATCCTTATAACAATTCTATTGTATATAGGCACTACTATTATCTGTTTCATAAATGAGGAAATCAAAGCACAGACTAGTTAATAGACTTGCCCAAGTTCAATAGCAAGTAGGTGGTAGAGGTGATTCGAAACCAGGCTGGTTAGCTCCAAAGCCCATATACATCAGACTCCCTCAGTCTTCTAGTACTTGCTCTGACGGGTCTAGTCTAGGCAGGCTGTGACTTATATGATGTGATCTGAAGAGTCTTGCTACTGCTAATACTAACCACAACTGGTTCCTCCAAGAAAGGAAGCATTATCTTCTAAAGATCATTGCTGAAATGTCTATGATTTACCTAGGGTAGTCATGAAATGAAGTGAGGAACTCTATCGTCCCCTGAAGTTCAGAGATCTGATTATTGGGTTAATTGTCACCTTGGAGACCATGGGACCCCTGGGATGAATTTCCACGGTGTAGGAGTGTGACCCGGATAAGCTTCTGGGACATGGTTCTGGGGTCTTTGGAGAGCATGAGCTGCTGGCTTAGAGTGATAAGTTCAAGATGGACTAGATGCTCATCAGGCATGGGATGCAGAACTCTAGGGGCCATGAAAGAACTCAGGGACAGGATGAAGCTCTCCTTCCACCATCTCGTCTTATTCCCATTTCTTTATTCTCTCTCTGGTCCTAAAAACATGCATTCAGAGACTGCAATCCAAAAACATCCTGGAAACAAGCAGTAAGAGTGCTATCACAGCACAGCCAGAGCTGTCAGGATATTCGTGGAGCTTCCAACTGATTCTGGAATCACATGTGGAGGCAGATGGGGTATTTCCCTAAAGGAAGCCCCGATTTCCCCTCAAGTGTGCTATCCCCATGCTGAGTGGAAGCAGGGCATTGGAAGGGAAAACAAAGTGCTTTGGAGAGGTGGGAGAGCAGGGCAACACTGCCACCAAGATAAGGTATTTGTGGGCTTGAGAGTTTTCACTTTAGTCTTTTTTCTTTCTAAGAAAGTGCAAATGTGCCAACAAGTTTGTACCATTCTTTTAATTTTTTCTCTAAAGAATACTTTGAAGAAAGTATGAAAATTTTTCATAAGCATTTTCATTGGTTCCCTCATTAGCATTTACTTTCTAAAGCATTTGGTCCTGTTTGGATGGTACAGTCTGTGAAGGCATCTGGATGTGCCTGGGTCACTGATGAGGAGTTTTCCAACTGATATTTCTTCCCTCCTTGATGTTGCTATCTTGGAACAGACTGATAATTCTAACCATCCTCTGGCCCTGACTTGTGTGCATCCCCATGGCCCCAGCTGAGCCCAGAGCTACACTGAGGAGTGTGGCTCTGCGGGAACTTCTGCACTCTTGGCCCTCACTGTCAGCGGGTGGCCCACACCTGAGGCTTGAGGCCTGAGGCCTGAGGCACCTAAATCCCAGCTGATTTGCTTGCCTGCCTCCCTATTCTACACATTTCTTCTGCCTGGAAAAAGAAGAAGAAATATCTTCCCTTGAAGGATCTTTCTCTAGATACTTATAAACCACTTCTTCTGTGCTAAGCACTTTCACAATTTGGGGATTTCACAGATACCCTGACATTCCAGCTTAAGAAACCCTGCTCTGGATGTTCTAAGTCTTATCCCTTAGTTATTTCAGACTTTCAAAGAGCTCCCAAACAGTGGCCTCTTGCACAGTTACTTTGGCCTCAGTTCACACTGAGGGGGGGCATGTGAGGCAGCCACCGGGACTCCTTATTGTAGCTTTGATGCAGATCCTCTCCATCCATCACATCCTTCCTGGGCCTCTTGTTGAGAAACCAACAGGAGAAATTTCTTTCAGCTGAGGGACAGGGGAGGGGAGAAGGGAGCAGAGCTTTGCTTTTCATGAACATGTAGTTTATTTTTATCTTAAGAGCACTATTGCCTTTCTAAATAATTATATTTCCCTTTTATTCAAATTATTTTCTTTTCTTTAAAGAATACTTTCACCAATTCTCAGGTCAAACTCTCCAGGCATGAAACAATTCTCACAACCTCCTCCTTTACTCTATCAGTTTGATTTCAGTAGTGACATCAGTGTTCAAGAATGGGATTAAGTGTCAAGACACTTTGGTGCTATTCTAAGAAATATAGAATGTACAAATTGTTCCTATGTTGGGCTTACTCAGCACTGAGTTTGAGTTCTGACTCAGCTATTTATTATTTTCTCACTCAATATATATTTACTGAGCTTCTACAATGTGCCAGGCATGGTTCTGGAATCCAGGGGCCATTTGGCATGGCTTCTGTTCTCAAAGAATTTCCATTTCAGTCAGGGAAGACAGACAATAAACAAGGAAACAAAACACATAAATGCGATTATTTCAGATAGTGATAAGTCACACACACACACGTACACGCGCGCGCGCACACACACACACACACACACACACACACACACACACAGAGGGCCATAATAGAGAGTGGTTCCTGGGGCAGGAGGCAGTGGGCAAGATTAGATAGGCGGTCTTTTAGGAGGTGACATTTGAGCTGAGACCTGGATGATGAGAAGGAGCCATCCACGCATAGACCCTGAGGAAGCGTTTTCTTTCTTTTTTTTTTTTTTTTTGGTGAGGAAGATCAGCCCTGAGCTAACATCCACGCCAATCCTCCTCTTTTTGCTGAGGAAGACTGGCCCTGAGCTAACACCCGTGCCCATCTTCCTCCACTTTATGTGGGACGCCGCCACAGCATGGCCTGACAAGCGATACGTCAGTGCGCACCCAGGATCTGAACCCGGGCCACCAGCAGTGGAGTGCATGTACTTAACCACTATGCCACGGGGCCGGCCCTAGGAAGAACTTTCTAAACTGAGAGAACAACTTATGTTAAGACTTTAAAGAAAGAAAGAAGCCACAAGAGGCAGGAATGTAATGAGCAGGGTGGACTGTAGCTGGAAAGACCTTGTTGTCCATGGTAAGAGGGGTAAGATTTAGTCAAAGTGTGATGGAAACTCATCAGAGGGTTTTGAACAGGAAATAGCTTGATATGATTTATATTTTATAAAATGACAGATTAGATTGAGTGGTAATGGTGGAGATGAAGTGGAGAGTTTTGGGATATGCTGTGGGGGTGGACTGAGCCAATCTGTGTTGAATAAAGAAAGGACCTGCTGATGGATGGGATGTGGAGATGTTTGGCCTGAACAACTGGGTGATGGTGGCGTCACTCCAAATGCCTCTTTCAGCCCGGGGTCATTACAGGGACCCTCCTTGGTGAGCTTTCTACTTGTCTCTGGGTGGCAGAATTACCTTTCTTCTAGCACTTAGGAGGGCCCTTCTGCATTAGACAGATCCTTAGCAAAAACAAGCATGTCTGTAAAAGGAAGATGAGACTGTCTAGGGAGAAAACATTAATCTCATTGACATCTCAGAACTATATATATACATATAGTTTTCTCATGAAGCTTCTGAAGATCTGAAATCTAAAGACTAGCTTTTCAGAAGCCAGCATCACTGACTCTTGCTTTCTCTTAAGTAAGTGTCCAGGGTGAAAAACCTGGATATTTTAAAGCATGACTATTGTTATTAATGAACACACTTTTTTTTTTTTCTTTTTTTAGGAAAAGATTTGCCCTGAGCTAACATCTGTTACCAATCTTCCTCTTTTTTTTTCCTTCCCAAAGTCCCAGTGCATGATTGTATATCCTAGTTGTAAGTCCTTTGAGTTCTTCTATGCGAGCTGCTGCCACAGCATGGCAACAGACAGGTGGTATGGTTCCGCAACCAGGAATCGGGCTGCCGAATTGGTGAGAGTACTGAACTATAACCACTAGGCCATCAGGCCTGGCTCAATGAACACACACTTTGATCAAAAAGCCAGCATATCTAAAAAGCCTTACCTGTTCTTGTTTTCTAGTTCTGCGATCAGCTGCCTTTGTTGCTTATTTGCATCAATGGTGAAGGAGATGTCAGGAGCACTTCTCTGCTGAGTCGGTTGCTGTAAAATATGTGGTTTACACTATTTAATACTGGGAATGGGAACCCACACGCATTTGAGAAGACAGGAATCATGAGATATGCAGACAAGTAAGAATGAATCATTTCTATCAAAACAAAAAAGTAAATATATAAAATTAAATTGCTATTCCTCTCTTAAGGACTAACTTTTCTGTGGTTCTGGAGCACGCCTCTGTAATGGAAAGCAGAAGAGAACTCTTTTTGGCAGGCAAATTCACAAAACATAAGAAAAATGTTTTTAGCTTTCTGACTTGAAATCTTTGGGGAGCTATTTCACTCTTGTCATGCTGTCTCCATTGCGACTATTCTCTGTAGAGGTGGGTTTAAAAAATGCTTCACTGTTAAGCTAGCTCTTTCTCTAGAATTACTGTTCAGTCACTGTAATGTACAATTAAAAATTTCACAGTTTTAAAGTCACAGTAGTAAGACTCTTCGTCAATGTAGTTTTAGCATTTCTTTATTCATATTTGTTAATTTACATTGATGGATATATATATCCATATATATATATGTACATACTTCTACTTTCATACCAACCAGCTCATCATTCCTGGTCATGCATGCATGCAACCAGTTTTAACAACTGGTGTATATGCAGCCATAGCTTTCACTATTCTTATATAATCATATACATATACATATATATACACACACACACACATATATATGTATATACATATACAAAAATTAACTCAACAAATTTATATTTATATATATACACACACATACAAATTAACCCTTGACTAAATACACACACACATATAGATGTATATACATATATTATAGAAATTCCTCAACATCAATATTTATTGTTTTTAAAACAAATTTAAAAAATCACAACTAATCTTTCTACCAAAGAATGCCAAGCTTTCAAAAATGGCACTGATTGCCTAAGCCCAAAGACATGGAGAAACTCAGCCTGCCTTTTAATGTCCAGAAACCTGACTGTGGGAAAGGTTAAGCTTGGTGTAAAGGTCTGGCTTTCGTAAAGCTTTTCTGTGATTTTTAATTAGCATTTCTTTTAACAAAGTGATTTGTGTTGCTAATGAAGAATTTTGAGGTCCTATGTTTTATATCCTAAATGGCTTTCTAAAGCTAAGTCTGGCATAGGGCAGCTTTGACCTGTGATCTTGGTTATTCTTCTGATTTCATTACAGAATTTTCTCTTTATTACATATATGTTACATATTGATAAAAGTAGGAACTTAGCCAGTTGTGGATTTGAGTCATTTCTTTGCTCTTTATATTAACTGATCAAGAATTATCCAGAGAAATCAGGTGTTGGGCTGGTTCAGCATGTTGTAGCAGAATATCTCATGCTATGATTTATGCCATACCAGAATGTTAGCCGAAAAGTGAAAAAATGGAAGCAGTGGGAGGCCAGGTCACTTTTAGGTCTTGCAGGCGATACAGTAGCAACTCTTCAGCTCTGCTGTTATAGTACCAACGATAAGGATAACAACGAACATGACATCCTCTCACTCAAACTACTTACAGACGAAGTGGACTCTGCTGCCAGTCTTGCCGCGTACCTGGCGATCAGCCTGTGTTCTTCATCGAGCCGGTTTGAACTCTCAAGCATACTATTGAGAACAGAGCAAGAAGGAGACTGTTAGACAATGAGAAAGACTGATGTATTCATATTACCACCAGAGGGGTTTGCTATTTCAATTTTTTAGTGCAAAAATTTGAAAGCTGTACAAATCCCTGTTAATGATCTCAGGCTTGGATTCATGACATGATCTAATATGTGTCCAGAAAGGCCATTAATAAATCCTATCTTCAGTCAATTCAACTGTCTTATTAAGAAAGCTCCAAAGAAAAGTGACGTTTCTGATCAACATTTCTGATAAAAGAATATTTTCTCTTTAACATTTTCATTTCCTTATTATGTATCGTGTATTCAAGTAATACATGTCCAAAATAGACATGTTAGAAAATATGGAAGCAGGATGAAAAAAAATCAATTGTGGTCAGCCTGCAGTGATCCCCACCTCCTGGTATTCACACTTGTGTGTAATCCTCTCTTTACTATGGGCTGGACTTACTGACTTGCTTCTAATGAATAGAATTTGGTAGAAGTAATGGAAATGTCACTTCTAAGATTAAGTTATAAAAAGACCATGGCTTCCATCTTAGGCCTGTTTTCTCTCTCTTGAGCTCTTTTGGATTGCTTGCTCTGTGGGAAGTTAACTGCCATGTCATAAGGCAGCCTGTGGAAAGGCTCATGTGAGAGAAACCAAAGCCAGCCAATAACCTTGTGAATGAATCCCCACAGGTGGAGCCTTCAGATGAGATCACAGCCCCCCAAGTCAACAGCTTGATTGCGACTTCATGATAGTCCTTGAGCCACAGGTACCTAGCTAAGCCAAACCTGGATTCCTGACCCACTATGAGATGATAAATGTTTGTTTTAAGCTGCTAAATTTTGGGGTAATTTGTTATACAGCAATAGATAACTAATATAATTCTCATCTATAATATTACTACCCAGGTAACTTGCCATTTTATATTTACTTCCAGAGAAGTGGAATTATAGTAGTGGTTTCTAATGACATTAATTGGAATTGTGTAGTGTCTCCTATAAATTTATAGAAATTGTTCATATTAGAATAAGGATGATGTAAGTCCCTAAAAAACTAATGCAAATAGAAGCATTATCAACTCTCCTACATTTCAGAAGGATCTTAACTCAAAACTAAGTTTTGGGTGCCATTAAAACAATTCTATGAAACATACCAGTAACACTAATCCCGTTGACAGACTAGTTGGTCATAGTTTGATTTATCAGTTATTATGGTGAGAATAAGTTCAGAATCAAGATTAGAAACTAGTTCCTCTCATTCCCAAATATACTTAGATTCTCCTCCAATGGCTCTTATACTTAAGTCTGCTCCTTAAGAAAAAAATTAATACTCATGATTATATATTAAAAATGACATACTTCTACGCCAATATTAAGGTTGTAAAAATTATCCATTGCAAGACTTGGATCCATATAAAGTAACATACATTTATATTATTTATATGTACATTTACATATAAAGTAAACATGCAGCATAGTCTTCTAACCTTTGTTCTAGAGCAAGAAGATGAGTGAAAATCATTATGTGCTTCCAGAATATTAGCTATGTCACTTCCAAATAGCCCTTCCCTGGCTGGCTGAATCCATTACTGTAAGATTTTTTCTTGTCATTTGGAAGACATTCCTGTCTCCATTATCTCTGCTCTAGTCTATGCTCATTATATATGTAAACTATATCTCTTCTTATCTTGAATACTTCCACTCTAGATTTAGCCATTTTCTCTGGGCTATGATAACCACCTAGAATATTCCTAAATTTCTCCATTTACCAAGTCACTTCTTCATCCTCAGAAAACGAGTCTTCTCTTTTCTTTTGCCCAAATGAGATAATGCATATAAAAAGCATCAAGCTAGTATGATGCCTAGAACACATTAAGTGCTCAAAAATGTTAGTTAACACAATATTATTATTTTGCCTCTTAAGTAACCCGTTCAGATTTATTAATGATTCTTGTCTCCTTCAAAATGTCATCTACCATCCAGCAACTATCTAGAGAAGGGCTTCTCAAACTTTAGTGTGTATACTTATCACTTAGGGATCTTGTGAAATGCAGTTTCTGATTCCATAGTCGGGGGTGGTGGGGTAGGTTGGGACCTGAGAATCTGCACTTCTAACAAGCTTTCAAGATATGTTGATACTGCTGGTCCAAGGACAACACTTTGATTAGCAAGGATCTAGAAAATATTGAAAATAAAATGGAAAATCTACACACGTGAAATGAACCCTAAATGTAAACCATATAATAGAGATCATTTTTCTTGAGTATTTAACTGATATCCATATAGCAAGTGTGATATTTCACAAACATTCCCTTAAGAGAGAAAATTTTAGGATTCCAGGCTCACATATGTGTAGTGTCTGTCCCTGTGGATTGACATGTCCATCAGCATACAAAAGACTTGGAGTAAGAAAATAATTTTAATAGCAAAAAGAATTAGTTCTGTAAAATTGATGCTTTAAAACAGATGTTTGTCTTTATAACACAATGTCTGCACTCTGCAGTGGTTAAAAATAATAACTGAATTTCTTGTTACAGCTTTAATAAGAAAGAGAAAGTTACTCTGTCTTTGCCTTAAACATAAAACTACCCCACAAAGAAACAATTTAATTTGATTTTAACATGTTTATCATTTCTGGCTGGTGTTTAGAGACTATATGCCTAATTCAACACAGTTTGTGTAGACAACAGGGCCCGTTGTTCCAAGCCCAGGACAATGATCTGTTTGACTGTCTGAAAGTGACTTTGTCAAAAACATTTGTGAGTGTTTTGATAAATAAATAATAAAAAAAACTTGATAAAAAAACCTCATGATAAAAGTGTCCTTTATTGTGAATGACCAGCAAGTATAAATAATATGAAGGTTACATAGAAAAAGCCTCCTGGAAATGTAAGACGTGAAGTTATGGGATTCTGTCTAGTAAGCTATAACTCATACTTCCAAGCCTTTCCTCCCCCCAGCACCGAGTGAATGAGGGGTGAAGTGATATATTACCCCTTTGTGCACACAAACGATTTACGAGTCCACATGTGCCATTTCAGTATGTTCAAATTATACAAGGGTGAATGAGGCATTCCTCTGATAAATTCCATTATTTCAAGACTTCAATTACAAATAGTTGAAAATGAATGGCCAATAATCCCTAAATAATTAAAGAAATACCGATTCCCACACTTTCTCCATCCCTGGCTATTCATTTCAAGACTTTATAATCAGTAATCTTACTACAAGACCATGATGAATTAAAAAGTGGCTGCTGTGTAGACTGCATTTCAGAGTGGGGAAATGTATTATTTTGAAAGCTCTCCACGTTCTACCGTAAATGCACAGCCAGTGTCTATTGCTAGAGATTTCAAAATGGCATTTTAGGCAACTCAAGTGGCCTCAGCTAAGCTAGGGCTTACTAAATTGTGATTTAGCAAAGATTTCTGGGAACTCAGGGTTTGTTCACATTTCCTTGGTTTCTCTGCAGGCCTGTTCTGACTTCCAGGCTGGGAAAGTCAACAAAATAATGTGATCCAAGGGGCACCAGAAATACTTCTATGTTTTCCCTCAATATTTTTTCCATTTGTCTGAATGGTGACAGGAATTTCATCGCTAGAGATTAACTTTTAAGGTCATTAGGCCTCATGTACTACTCTTCTACTAAAACGCAAATAGTCAATCGGAGGATGACTGCCTGAAAAGGCATCATTAGTTAACACTTAAGTGGAGAACTACTTTATGAGGTTATATCCTATCTTTTGCAGTTGGTTGAGAGCAAAATGCTATGGGATAGAGCCCTGTTCAGGCCTTTAGGAGTCAGAGAGCAGAAGAGTCAGGGTGAAAAGGAATGGAGAGATACTGGGGCAGGAGAAGTGGTTTTGTGGGACTGAAGAATGGGGAGGGAAATAAACTAACTCTCAAAGCTTCAACCGTTGGCTCTTTAATGACTGGTTTGAAAGGATAAAGGCAGGAAATCACAAAATGGCTATCTTCATGGATAATAATAAGAAAAATTTACCATAATAATGGCTTCTCTACAGGGATGCCTTCAAACTCCTTTATGGAGACCCTGACTTGAACTATAACTATGTTATAATTGTCCACCAAGGCCATGCATTCTACCTTCTACAAACTCTCAAATTCCTCCTTTTCCTTCTATTCCAACTGTCACTCATGTGCTCCAGGCCACCATCATCTTATCTGAATTAGCGTAAAGCCCTCTCAACAGGTCACTCTGACTTTAGACTTATTCTTCCCTCCAATTCATTTTCTATCCTGCAGTCAGTAATCTTTTAAAAATGAAGTGGGCTGTAACATTCCTAGGCATAAAATCCTTCAATAGGTTCTTATTTTTGAAACTCTTAAATAAGGCTTATAAGGTCCTGCGTAATCGAGCTACATCTTTTACATCGTTTACTCTAGGAGCTTTAGCACAGTTAAATTCCTCAAATGTATCACATTCTCTCTGCTCTCAACAATCTCTCTGCCTCCTCTGCCCACTTCCACTTGGCTAATTCCTCGTCATCCTGCTGTCGGCTTTAGCTGCCATTTCCTACCCTCACCTCCAACCTCCAAATTCTGGCTTACTGCTCCTCATCTATTCCATAGCACTCTGCACTGCCCTATTACAGTTGCTATCACTTTGCATTTTAATTGCCTTTTCACTTGTCTTTATCCTCCACTAAACTGTAACTGCTTTGAAGGCAGAATGGTTCAATCTTTTCACCATTAGATCTTAGCACAGTGCTTGGAACACAGCAGGAATTATCTAAGACTTGGACAAAAGAAGGAATAAAGTTTAGCTCTCGTAGGCTTGCAATGTCATGGTCTTTGGCCTGCCTCTTCTCTTTCCTTCTTGGCTCTGCATGTACCCTCAACACTTTGAGAAAATCATAAGAATACAGATGAAATACTGTACTTTAATACTAGCCATGCCATCTACAATTGAACTGTGAATTCACATTTGGCAGGGTTAAAATGAAGATACACTCTATTGCTGCATACGGATTTCTT